AATGCCCTGCCTTGTGTCCCATCTTGGCTAGGTTTCAAATGTTGAGGCTTCGGCTGAGTCTCAAAATTGACCATCGCACCGTTTGTCACTCGCTCGTAACGTTATAATTTGTTAGAGAAAGAAAAATAAAAGAATTGTAAATGACTTACTCGATCAAGTTCTTAATGTATCCTTTTGGTACTGGGTCGTCTTTAAATTCGCTCATTATTCAATACTTTTTAAAGATCTTTTAAAATAAAATATAGTTATTTAAATACAACTACACAGTAAAATATTGTAGTACTAGTCTTTAGCTGCCTAAAGTACTAGTTGCTATTTTAGTACAGCTTTTACTTTTCTGTAGTACTAGTGGTTGCTAGGATACTAGCTGTTGAACAGAACCACAACTGGAGGTTCTGTTTAGTTATAATACTAGCTCCAATAGTGTTTTAGCTAAGTTAGAACTAAATATAATTTTTTTGAATTTTTCGAAATTTAGTCAAGTTAGCGCAGCCTCACCCGAAGCCTGGAAAATGAATTACACCGGCGGGGAAATAACTTTAAACTACTGCGAAATGGATGTTTTATATGCAAATACGCGCACTCAGTGTTCTTGACTCAATTTCATATGATTTGTATTCAAAATTCAATTCGGTTTTTTGTAAAATATTTTAGAGTTTGTAAACAAGACTGGACTAGACTTTATTAAAGGAATAAAGACTAGCTTTAAGTTTGAACTAGGGTTGACTATAGGACGTGTAGCCTCGGGCTGGCCCAGCTTGGGCCGGTCAGAGAGAAAACTCAAAACAAGCCGGGCTAAAACTTTAAGCCGCGGGCCCGCTTCAGACTTTGAAATTGGGCCCGGCTCATTTCTTATTCCTCTAGCTGGGGCTTTATTTACATTTCGTTCACATAATATTGATTTTTCTAAATTCAACTCTATTCTCTACCTTCCTGCTTTAATTTGGCCGGCCCTACCCTACCCTACCCTACCCTACCCTACCCTACCCTACCCTACCCTACCCTTCCCTACCCTACCCTACCCTACCCTACCCTACCCTACCCTACCCTACGCTACCCTACCCTACCCTACCCTACCCTACCCTACTCTACCCTACACTACCCTACCCTATCCTACCCTACTTTACCCTACCCTACCCTACCCTACCCTACCCTACTTTACCCTACCCTACCCTACCCTACCCTACCCTACCCTACCCTATCCTACCCTACCCTACCCTATCCTACCCTACCCTACCCTACCCTACCCTACCCTACCCTACCCTACACTACCCTACCCTACCCTGTCCTTCCTTCTCTTTTCCTACTTTACCCTACCCAATAGTGCTATGCGTATGCGTAATCAAACCTTACTTTTTTTCCTTTGAACGTTAGAAATACAGTACTATCGTACTCTCTGGCAAATAAAAATAAAATTTTTTAAAAATTTTTAAAAAACAAGAAAATGTACAAGCCCCGAAAAGACTATAAATCACTAAAACTAGTGTTATCAATCCATTATTTGTGTTTTATTACAAGTAATTCTAACGGCTTCTGATTGTTGTTGGAAATGGACAAGAAATTCGTTATCAGTAATAAAAAATGGCGTATCGACGACTTCTGAAGCTTGTTTTAGTTTTTGATCAAAGGTAACAAAAAATAACAATAACTTTCTTTACAAAACGAAAAATGGCAAAAACTTTCTTTACAAATCAAAAAATGGCAAGAACTTTCTTTACAAGCTAAAACAAAGACAGTTTTCAATTTTTTTGGTTTTTCTTTGTACTTTTAACGTTACTTTTTGATAAGAAGATAGGAAGCAACAATCACTTTCCAGCTTACGTTGTTATACTTTGCACCCAGACTGAACTCAAGTGCTACACTTGAAAAGCTATCTGAGTTAAAGTAGGCTGAAAATCAATTTTAATATTCTATTCTACCTTATTCTACCCTATCCTACTCTATTCCACCCTATCCTACTCATCTTTTAGCTTTTCTTAAGTAATAAATTTTAATTAAAAAATCTAATAAAATTTGTGACATTTCGTTAAATTATTCGTTAGTTGTGCTAAAATTGTAAAAAATAAACAAAAGTTAACTCACTGTAATGTTTTTACCTAATTGTTATTATTGACAGTTTTCCAATAATTAGTTGGCACTTCGCAACACTTTTCAATATTTTTGTGACATTTCGTCAAATTAAGGTTTAGATTTAAAACTAATTAAAAACATTATTTAAGCAATTTTGTCTTACCTTTTGCTACCCTACCCTACCCTATCTTACCCTACCCTATCTTACCCTACCCTATCTTACCCTACCTTATCCTACGCTACCCTATCTTACCTTACTCGACTTTGAGAAAAGTCTTGTTGTTTCTGCTTATCAAAAGATATGCAAGATAACGACAAAACTTTTAAAATATAAAATTATAAAAAATATTCAAAATTTAAAATTCGAACTTTGTAGTGTTGTTTGACTTGCCTTCCGCGATCAAAGCCATCAATTATGTTTGCGAACCAAACTGACACCAACTACGTTAATGGTCATGATATGTGTTTTCGTCAATGCATCGGCTGAATTCGATGACTAAATAGAAAATTAAACTCATTTGGGGTATTATATATATTATTGTGTCATGTTTTTAATAGTCATTGTTTTATGTTTCTTTAGACGTAGATGGTGGTTGAAAATAGGGTAGGGTAGAACAAGGTGTTAGCAAAGCAAAAAGATACGGAAGGCTAAGACCTATGGGTAAGGCTAGAGCTTTGAAGCTAGAGTTAGACTGAGATGTGCTGCGCTGAGATGAACTGGACTGAGCTGAACAGGATAAGGCTGGCTTGGGTTGGCTTGGTTGAGCTGGGTTGGGCTGGGATGTGCTGAACTAAGGCAGAGCAAAGGCAGGTCAAGGCAACTGCTGGGCTTGGCGCGGCTTACTGAGCTGGCCTTGTGCTAAGCTAAAGCAAGGCAGGGCAGAGCAAAGCAGGCAAAGAGCTAAGCAATGCAGGTCTGAGCTAGGATGGGCTGGGCTAGAATAGAATGGACTGGGCAAGACTGGGGTGGAGTAAACTAGACTAGGCTGGGCTAAGCTGGGCTGGGCTGGGCTGGGCTGGGATGGGCTGTAAAAATACGTACTAATTGCCATTTACAATGCAAACTAACAGGTTTGTTACTGTGCTTGAATCGATTTTACAACCTAATTACTGCAATGTAAAACCGAATATTATTGTGATATCATGATACCTAATTACCGTGGTATCATTGCACGTTCCTCGAAACATACTATTTAATGACAGGGTTAGGTTATATGAACATACTATAGTTGACATGTTCGTGTAAGTAAGGTTGTAATTGTGTTTGTAATGTAAAGTAATTAGTCATGTTAGAAGGTAGGAACGTTTGGCAAGTTTGACTATGGGTTCATTTGTTTGTATGTTAGGTATAAGATGTGTATGTAGATAATTAACATCTAGAGTTAGTCATGCAGGCTTAGATTTAGAATTTAGCTTAGACTAAGGTTTATGTTTATGCTTAGGCTCAGGCTTAGTCTTAGGCTTAGGCTTAGATTTAGGTTTAGGTTTAGGCTTAGGCTTTGGCTTAGGCTTAGGCTTAGGCTTAGGCTTAGGCTTAGGCTTAGGCTTAGGTTGAGGCACAGGCTTAGGCTTGTTTTAAGGCTTACCTTTAATCGTAGAACTATAATTAGATTTTACTTGGCAATTAGACCGGATTGAACCGATTTTTCAGCTTGGCTCGGCTTGTAATAATTTTGGTTTTATTCGGTTAGGATCGGCCCATCCGGCATTGCTCGATCGCCGGTGCTTGCTTTAACTAAAACTCAGATGGTCTTAGGTATAATCGAGCTCTTCTTATGCTCTCCCCCCCCTCCTCCTCCCTACTTTTTTTTGACTTTGTTGACTTTGCCTTTTCATAACCTCACCTTCGACCTACATAAGTCAACCGTAATCTCTATCCCTATGTGATTTACAAACTTTGCATTTCGTTTACATAGTATTGATTTTTTACTTTTTTTCAATACTACGTGACATAACCTGTTCAGCCAATTACTTATTTATACACATAACTAATCGCTTCTCTGCACCCGTCCTATGTCATATAAGCGGCATGGTAAAGCGGCGGTTTACTTGGAAACGCTGTTTAAAGCCCAATTTCATTTCATACCTAATTACTTTGCTTTTGTTTCGTGACAGAACTGTTATCAACCTGTTGTAATTATTTTTTATTTTGATTAAGATTGTGTAAAGTTTATTTTTTTTATTTTTTAAAATGGCATTTGTGTAAAACGTCTCGTGATTGCGTATTTTAGTTACCTTACATTGTAGCTTCGTGCCATCGATTTCATTTTGTGTTTTGCTTCGTGGAAAGAAAGTTACTGCGGTTTTTATGCAATAAACTTACATTTTTAAAGAATAGCTAGTAGTAGAATATAAGGCAGTATATGAACTCGTAGGGTAGAGTAACATTACGGTAGATAAGGCTTACGTAGCGTGGTATAGTAAAATATGGTAAGATAACCTAAGATATAGTAGGGTAGAGTAGGATTGAAAGATATAGGGCAGGGTAGAGTAAAGCAGGGTAAGACAGAGCATAACAAAGTATGATAAAGCAAGGCAAGGCAGGGCGAGGTAAGTATTTTGTTGAACTGTCACAAAGTAATGAAAAATCAATACTGTGTAAACGAAATGCAAATTTCTTAGTAAGGTAAAGTAGGCTAGAACTAGACAAAGTAAGATAAGGCTAGACAGGGCAAGGAAATGTAGAGAGTGGCGAGAATAGGGCATAACAATAGTAGGGTATGGTAAGCATAACAAGTGCTATGGGTAAAGGGTGGCAAGGGTAGGGCAAGGAAAGAGTAGGGTAGCGTAGGGTAGGGTAGGGTAAGCTAGGGCAGGGTAGGGTAGGGTAGGGTAGGGTAGGGTAGGGTTATCGCTAATTTCAATTTTCCAAATAATCGATAAATTTTGTGGCATTTCGTTAAATTTTAAAAATTTATTTTTCAGGAAAAATGAATTTGTTTTGTTGTTTTTGCGGCTCGGACCCGGAATCAGAATCGTATGAGGTATTAGAAGGACCGTACGGCGAATTGGAAGCACAAATCTCATCATTAGTGATGGATGAACATTATTATTACCTGGGGCTGTCCGGCTCGACATTGGAGGTAAGGGATACTGTAATATGAAAAAATTGTTACCTAAAATGTTTTTTTGTTTTGTAAAGAAATTTTTTGTCATTTCTTGTTTTGTAAAGAAAGTTTTTGCCATTTTTTGTTTTGTAAAGAAAGTTCTTGCCATTTCAGGGCCTAGTCCTAGAACGCCAAGCCCTAAAGCACAAGGTTTACGTGGAATTGATAGAAGGTAACCTAGAAGAAGAACTACTGTCACCTAGGTATCAACCCGAATTTTACCTTTTCTGTGCCGATGTCATGTACCAAAATGGAATGCCTGTGGCCAAGGAGATTATTTACAATTTGAAAAAAAGTTGCAAAAAGATCCCTGGAGAACAGGCGATTGAGATTGTCAAGTGTTTGGAACATGCCTGTGGCAATAAGGAGAAGGAGAAGATTGAACTCGGCGTGGAGTTTATTTCTTGCGATTAGATTTAAAATTTAAAAAAAATTGTTTAAAAAGAACTTTTTAAAAAATCTATTTACATTTCGTCCACATAGTATTGATTTTTCGCTTTTGAAGTACTCTATTTACATTTCGTTCACACAATATCGATTTTCCGCTATTTTAAAAATTTATTTACATTTTGTCCACATAATATCGATTTTCCGCTATTTGTAAATTGTATTTGCATTTCGCCTACATAGAATTGATTTTCCGTTTTTTTAAATTTATTTACACATCGTCCACATAATATTGTTTTTTTGCTTTTTGAAAAAGTATTTACATTTCGTCTACATAATATTGATTTTCAGCTATTAGTAAAATATATTTACATTTCGTCTACACACTATTGGTTTTCTCCTTTTGAACAAATATATTTACATTATGTCAATTCAGTATTAATTTTCTGTACTAAACCCTATTCTAGACTACCGTACCTTACCCAATCCCAACCTAACAGCTTTTTTTACTTTACCCTACCCTGTCATACCTAGTCTGCCATCACCTTTAGGTCATTTCTCTTAGTATTAATGACGTTATCAAAGCCAAAAAGTTTGTTATTATACTACACTGTTATTCTTACACTCTATCAACGTACATGTTACACTTTTCTACCGAACATCCTTCTCAAAATGTCGTGTTTTTTCTGTTCTTTGTTATAAACTTTACTATTGTTAAATAAACCAGATTAACTTTAGTTACGTTTACTTAATCGCAAATAGAGTGGGTTTGCAAATTAGGCACTAATGATAGAGTAAGCAGTGGTGGGCTGGTGATTATTGAGAAAAATATTAACAATACTACCTAAATTTTGAAAATGATAACTAAATACAAAAAATATCTCCTACGATTCAAAAATGTTACCTAAAATTCATAATTAGTACCTAAAAATAAGAAATGTTACTTAAAATTCATGGAACTGACCTAAAGATCATAATGGTACCTAAAATTCGCAAAATGTAAAGGAAATTTAAAAATGTTACCTAAAAATCAAAAATGTTACCTGATTTGAAAATCATTACCATAAATTTAAAAATAAAAGCTAAAAAGAAAAAATGTTACCTAAACTTTGCTACGTTACCTAAACTTTGAAAATGTCACGGGAATTTCAAAAGTGTTACCTAAAATTCAAAAATAATACCTAAAAATAAGAAATGTTACTTAAACTCCGACATTTTGCGTTTTTTATAAGGGGTGTTTCTTTACAGAGACTTTTTAGTGCAAATTGACTTGGCGGGCTAAATTTCTTGTTTACTATGAGGAGAGTTGCTTATACAGATGGTACACTATATAGAGGGACCACTGTACTACCTAAACTCCAAAAAATGTGACCGAAAATTCAAAACTGTTACCTACAGTTCATATATTGCTACAGTATAAACGTTTTATGAAGCTCTGCTCAGCTAGCGACCCTTCCCTGAACAGTGCTCCAGGTGCACAGTTCGCGATCTTCAACGCTCAACCAGCTACAGTAGCCAGCAGAACGAGCTTCACGCTCTGGAAGGGCCACCACGACTCGATCATCGCAGAGTCAGGTGGTGAAACCTAGACGTTAGACGAGAGTATGCTTACTACAGAAATGATCCTGTGAAGCATGATCTCGAAGAAGCTATATTTCGTCTGGAAGGCGTTTAAATGTGCGTTTTGCTTTTGATTGGGTTTGAACGTGTGCGAGACAGTTAGAGAAAAGACTCTTTTTGCGCTTCTTCTGCTCTCTGTACACGCTCTCGTGAATTCGCACTCTCTCGCTTCCTCCGACAAAAAATATTTCGCAAGCTATGAAGCAAAACTTGACTCTATTCATTTCGCGGGTCAGCTTTTGCTTTATACAAGGTTTTTTCGCTTTTTGTCTGCTGTTTTTTTCTGGGTAAGCTGTATTCCCGCCAACAAAAATAATATACCTTTTATGTCCAGGTTTGACAGTTCTCCTGAAAGTGTAGCCTCTCCCGAGCCGATCCTAGAAGATGCAAGCCCCGAAGTGTCATTCGAAGATGAAGAAATGGATGTAGAAGATGAATATCCGAAAATACGACAAAAACATTTTGAAGATTTGACAGAAGAAGATAAAACACAGGTAAATCAATAGGAAAAATTGAGTTTGAAGTAGAAAATGGCAAGAACTTTCTTTACAAACTGAAAAATTGATAATAATGTTTATTCTTTCAGTTATCCAACGACGACCTAAAACAAATGGAAAACGACTATCAAACGCGTCTAATATCATCCCTACCGGTATATTATCCAGGCATTCGAGGTTGTCGAAGTGTGAACGAGTTCAAGATCCTGAACAAGATCAGCGAAGGCACGTATGGTGTAGTATACAGGGCGCGAGAGCTGAGGACGGACGAAGTTGTGGCATTGAAAGGACTAAAAATGGAAAAGGAAAAAGAAGGATTTCCTATAACATCGTTGAGAGAGATCAACATGTTGATGAAGTGCCGAAATCATGAGAATATTGTTGGTTTGAGGGTAAGAAACCATATTTTTTATTGGTTTTTAGGTAAAAATCAGCGATTTCTGTTGGTATATAGGTAACAATCTTCGTTTTTTGTTCATTTTTAGGTGGTTTGAGGATTTTAGGTAACATTTTTGAATTTTAGGTAAGGTTTCTGTATTTTAGTTAACATTTTTGGAGTTTAGGTAGCATTTTTGAAGTTCAGGTAACATTTTTTATTTTAGATATTACTTTTGTGATTTAGGTAACACTTTTGAATTTCAGCTATCAATTTTAAATTTTAGGTAATAATTTTGAAATTTTCAGGAAATTGTTGTCGGCGACACGATGGACAGTATATTTTTGGTAATGGAATTCGTGGAGCACGACGTCAAAGCACTAATGGAACAATTACAAGCCAAAAAGAAGAATTTTACTCTGCCACAGGTCAAAAAGCTCATGATACAATTGTTAGACGGGATAGCGTACATGCACTCGGAATGGGTAATACACAGGGATTTGAAGACGTCTAATTTGTTATTGTCACATGGGAATGTGCTAAAGGTAAGGTGTTTTTGTTTTAAATGTTTTTGGGGGTGGAAGCTGGGTTTTTTTTGTTTTTTGAGCTTTGGAAAGAAAGTTATTGCATTTTTAGGTTTTGTGAAGAAAGTTTTTGCCATTTTATCTAGCCATTTCTTGTTCTGTAATTAAAGTTTTTGCCATTCTTTGTTTTGTAAATAAAATTCTTTCAGATAGGTGACTTTGGGTTAGCCCGAGAGTACGGCGACCCCCTAAAGCCCTACACCGGCCTGGTGGTAACGTTATGGTACCGTGCACCCGAACTCCTCCTCGGCACCAAGTACTACAGTACGGAGGTGGACGTGTGGTCGGTGGGTTGTATCTTTGGCGAGTTCCTCACGCTTCGACCAATGTTCCCCGGCCATTCGGAGACGGATCAGCTCAAGAAGATCTTCGCCGACACTGGAGCCCCAAACGAGACAGTATGGCCAGGATACAGCGCACTGCCACATGCTCAGCACGAATGGCCCGAGCATAAGTTTAATCAGCTAAAGTCGAAATACCTGAAGGATTTGGACAGTGTGGCTGGTGTGGACTTGATGAATCGGTAAGAATTTGTTTTGAGGGAGGGGTAGGCTTTTTAAGGTAGGGTAGGGTAGCCATTTAAAAGTAGGGTAGTTTTTTAGGACTGCTGGGGTCGAGTTTGAAGAGCGCGTTAGATTTTTAAAGGCAGGGTTGATTTTATGGTTATGGGGGTTGCTTTTGAAGGCAGGATAGACTTTTATGTTTTGTAAAGAAAGTTTTTGCCATTTTTTGTTTTGTCAAGAAAGTTCTTGCTAATATTAAGTTTTTTTCAGGCTTCTAACCCTCTGCCCAGAAAGTCGAATAACCGCGGAGGCGGCGCTAAAACACGAGTTCTTCACCGAAGACCCAGCCCCCGCCTCGTTGGACACGTTCCCCTCATGGCCAGCCAAATCCGAAGGCCATAAAGCCCCACCCAAAAAGCCCACCATCGTCGAAACCCTACCCGCCAAGCCCATCGACCCGTACCAACGCAAACTCCTCAACGAGTTCAAGGTGGACGCGAAGGCGGTCAAAGCATTCTCCCTTAAGTTCTAACTTTTATTTATTTTTTTATACCATTTGTGAATGTTACCCATACTAATAAAACCTTGTTTACACTAAGGAGGATGGGATTTACAAATATTTTTTTGAGGGGGGAGGGAGCAGTGAAGTTCTTGCCATTTTTTAATTTGTAAAGAAAGTTCTTGCCATTTTTTGTTTTGTAAAGAAAGTTCTTGCCATTTTTTGTTTTGTAAAGAAAGTTCTTATCACTTTACGATCTGTAAAGAAAGTTCTTGCCATTTTTTGTTTTGTAAAGAAAGTTCTTGCCATTTTTTGTTTTGTAAAGAAAGTTCTTATCACTTTACGATCTGTAAAGAAAGTTCTTGCCATTTTTTGTTTTGTAAAGAAAGTTCTTGCCATTTTGTGTTTTGTAAAGAAAGTTCTTATCACTTTACGATCTGTAAAGAAAGTTCTTGCCATTATACAAAAAAATCACAGTAGTTTATTAACTCTTTCTGTAAAAGAGACCAAATCAAATTGTTTAAATGCATATAAAAGAAGGCAGACCTACTACAACATATATTATAATATATTACAGTATGACCGAAAGAACAACAATTAAAAATATATTACCAGAAAAAAGATCATTCAAGATGTAAAAGTGTACTATACTAAAGTTACGAACAATAATAGGGTGGGGTAGAGACGGTGAGGTAGGGTATGGTAAAATAGGGCAGGGTAGAACGAGTGAAGCAGGGTAGAGTACGGCGGGGTAGAGTAGGATATGGCAGCAGAAAGTAGGGTAAAAAAGGTAGGAAACCCTACTATGCACCACCCTACTCTACCCTATCCCACCTTGCCTTACCTTACCCAACCCTATTCTACCCTACCCCCACCTTATTCTACCCTACCCTATATAAAAAGCAAAATACAGTACCCCGACTCCCTCCCTACCCCAACTACAATATCATCCTCTAAGCGTTGTTAAGAAGTTCGCTCTCATCTCCATTTGAAGGCAGTACCACCTTCTTCACCTCCTCCACTCCATCCGGAGCATGTGCACCAATGAAGGTGTGATATAAGAACGCTCCCAATGGTCCACCAATCAATGGTGCCACAATAGGAATCCAGAAGTAGCATCCATGATACGTGAACACCTCCCAGCCATAGCCAGCAAACACAGCGAACAGGCGTGGGCCAAAGTCTCTGGCCGGGTTAATAGGGTAGCCCAGGTTCATGCCATAAGTGAAGCCGATCAACATCAACGTGAAGCCGAAGCACAGTGGATGCAGGAACGCTGGCACGTTGTTCCTTTTGTCTGTGAACACACAGACGAAGAACAGTAGGATCGCCGTTCCCACGACCTGATCCAGAAAGGCGGTGCAATTGGAGATGTGCTCGGCTGGGAATGAACAGAAGATGCCGGCGGTCGCGTTCGGACCGGTTATGGTTCGTAAGGGTCCGGCAAAGTAGTTTAGGGCGTCTGAAGACAAAGTTTTTAAATTTATTTCGAAGGTAGGGTAGAACAGAGGGTAGGTTAGGGAAATTTGAGAGCATGGTAAGGTAGAACAAGGTAACGGAAAGGCACGGGTAAGGGGTAATGTTAAGGTAGGGCAAAGCAGGGTAATGGTAAGGGTAGGGTATGGTAATTAAAGGAAAGGCCAGGGTAAGGCAAAAAAGGGCCATGGAAGAGCAAGTTCAAGCTGAGGAGGGAGTGGGGGAAGTGGTATGGGGTGGATCACGACGGATAGGTTAAGATAAGGTAGATATTATGATAGAGTAGGGTAGGAAGAACAAATTAAGAAGTACGGGTACTGTAACGCGGGGTAAATATTAGGTAGGGTGGGGTAGAGTACGGTAGAAGGGTAGGGTAGGGAAGGGTAGGGCAGGGTAGGGTAGGGTAAAATAGAGTAAAGTAAGGTATTGTTTGGAACGGTAAAGATACACCTACCTTGATAAACAGCAAAGCCAGCAGCAGCGCCCAAGAATGCTCCGATGGTCTGAACGATGACAAAACCAATAAACTCCTTAATCGAAATATGCCCCAAAAATACCAAAGTAATCGATACGGCAGGATTAAGTTGGCCTCCAGATGTGGTATAAGTAGCGTAGACGCTCAACGCCACGATGAACCCGACGCCAATATTGATTGACAGAAAACTGACCAACTTTGAGCCGGTGAGTACGTGCTGACAGGAAATTCCGAGTACTAGGAACTGAAAAATTTAAATTTTAAAAAATTTTTGATAAAAAATAGAATTTAAAAAAAAAACTTATTGACATAAAAAAATTTTTAAAACTTGAAAATGATGATGATCATGCCATAAATGATGCCAATAATGACCTACCACTAACAGAAAAGTACCGAAGAGTTCAGCACACAAAGCAGCATGGTACTTGTTTCTCAAATGAAACCGGTTTCGAAGCCTTTCAGCTGGCAGTAGTCCTTCTTTGGTCATTTTTTGACCAATAAACCGTTTTAAGCTAAAATTTTTTAAAAAAATTAAATTCAAATTTCGAAAAAATTAAAACGCGATGACAATAATATGGCAGAAAGGTACAGTAGGACAAAACAAGGCCATGGAGGCGCAATATTGATGTAGAGGGGAGGGGGGGGGATAAGAGGTGGGCAAGAGGGTAAGGAGAGGGGAAGGGGGTGGGGAAGGAAGAAGTGCGTGTGTAGGAGGAAGGGAATGATAGGGGCAGTGCAACATACCCTACCCTATTTTACCCTGCCGTACTTTACACTACCATGCCCTGCCAAGTCGTATCCCACCCTAACCTACCCTGTACTATCCTACCCCATCCTAAACCACCCTAATCAGCTCTATTTACTCTACCCTACCTTACCACGCCCTGACAAATGTTTATGTCTAACCTCCCCCCTACTCTAATCATGCGCCCGCCCTGACAAATGGCTACCCTCGCCTTGCTCTAAACTTGCCCATGCCCTACAACAATATTGAAAAAAAAGGTATAAAAAATTATTTACTACCAATAAATCGTATGTTAAAGAAAAGGTCAAGAAAAGTCAAGTTTGGGCTGATTAACACTCCATTATCAGTCCAACGTCTGATTAAAAAGAGCATTTTATTTTACTAATCTTTGGGTATTAGAAAGTGTTGTTAAAACACGAATAGGTATGTTTACATTGCTTTAGACACTAATACGTATAGTTTGGCTGAGAATTTTAAATTTTTTAAAAAATTTTCAGAAATTGTTACCTAAAATTTACAAAAAATTTCTATTTGTTACCTAAATTTAAAAAATTTTTTTGTTACCTAAAATTAAAAAAAAATGTTTGTTATTACCTAAAATAAAAAAAAATGTTTGTTGTTACCTAAAATTTAAAAAAAATGTTACATAAAAATTTTAAAAAAAGTTTTTTTTGTGACCCAAAATTAGAGAAATGCCATTATATGCCTAAAAACCTAAGAAATAGCACAAAATACAATGTGAAAACCACTCATAAACTGCCATTTTTATACCACCACAAAGACAAAATGAAAAAAGCACATTGCAGTAAGAAATCCAATTACATGTTATAAAACCACTACTTTTCACAGGTAAACAAATAATTAAAGTCTGAACCCATTAGACTTAAATTTGGGGCTACCTTAGTAGAGTTAGGCTTAGTAGGCTTAGGCTTAGTAGGCTTAGGATTAGTAGGCTTAGGCTTAGTAGGCTTAGGCTTAGCAGGCTTCGGCTTAGTAGGCTTAGGCTCAGTAGGCTTAGGCGGCTTAACCTTAGTAGGCTTAGGCTTAATAGGCTTAGGCTTAGTAGGCTTAAGCTTAGTAGACTTAGGCTTAGTAGACTTAGGCTTAGTAGACTTAGGCTTAGTAAGCTTAGGCTTAGTAGACTTCATGTTTCTTCTAAAAAACGTCTGGAATTTAAAAAAACCGCTTACACTACGTGCCGTTCTGGCGAACTTTCAAAACATCCCAGACGAATTTGAAAAGCAAAAAGTAGTTTTTTAGTGTTTTTTAGGAAAAATTTTCGAAATCCACATACTTTTGGCAATGCAATGAGGACATTGCATCATTCGGCCGAAATTTGATTTTTGAATGAGGAAGTTCAAAAATAGAGCTCAAGGGTTAGAAAATTGATTTTAAATAGGATTTTTAATATTTTGAAACCCAAAAGTTGCAATTCCAAAACCTTAAAAATCCATTTATTACCTATTTTTTGAGGCTTGACTCAACAAAGCTCTAAAACTCCCAAAAAGGACCTAAAAATTGACATTTTTTGATACAAAAATCTTTAAAAATTAAATTTTTAATACTCAAAAACATAAAAGTTACCATATTAAGCCTTAAAAGCCTTTTGTTACTTATTCTTTGAGGCTTAAACCCTAAAAACCTCCAAAACACCCCCCAAAATTGTGGTTTTTTAAAAAAGAAAATTCATTTTTCAGGTTTAAAATCATTTTTAAATTAAATTTTTAACAATTAAAAACCTTAAAATTGCCATTTTAAACCTTTAAACACCATTTAATACCTATTTCCTAACGTTTGAACCCCAAAAATCCCCAAAAACGACGCGAATTCGGCGGGAAAAGGCCGATATTCACCATGAATGGACATTCTTTTAGCCTCCAATCTTAAATTATCCCACTTCGGAAGTGTTTTTTCAATCTTTTTTAAAAGCGTTGTCCTTTTACAATTCAAAAACGTTTAAAAAATGTTTCAAAACTGCCCACGCTTATATTTAAAAATTCAAAATATTTTATTTTTTCAAAAGAATTCATTAAAATAGGTAACAAAAATTTTCAAAAGTTAAAAATTTAAAGAAAAAGCCCATCATAACATACAGCTTATAATTGTTAGCCTTAGGACGCGATTTTAAGCTTATCGTTAGACTTAGGCTTAGTAGGCTTAGGCCTAGTACGCTTAGGCTTAGTAGGCATAGGCTTAGGCTTAGTCGGCTTAAGCTTAGTAGGCTTAGGCTTAGTAGGCTTAGGCTTAGTAGGCTTAGACTTAGTAGGCTTAGACTTAGTAGGCTTAGACTTAGTAGGTTTAAGTGTAGTAGGCTTAGGCTTAGTAGGCTTAGGCTTAGTAGGCTTAGACTTAACACAAATTTTTAGGCTTAATAACACTAGTTAGGCTTAGCGTCACAAAATTTCACGCTTAACGGAGATTTTTATGCTTACACAAGCTTAGGCTTTTTTTCGCAATTTAGGCTTATCAGACGCACAGTTTAAGCTTATTTTTAATCTCAGCTAGAAAATATTAGGCTCATTAGTATGGGCCGTTTCTCAGTTCGGAATATACTACTCTACCCTACCATGTCTTGCCATATCCAACTTTCCCTGCCCTACCCTACTTATTCCTGCCCTACCCTACCTTTCCTTGCCCCACCCTAAATTATGTAAATTTTTTAAACAAAAGATATTAAAAATAATAACCTAAAATTTACCCCTGCCCTGGTCATCTTTTTCCCTCCCTTTTTTACTAAATTTTCCTCCCGAATAAACAAAAAGCCCCCTCCCCCCCCCCTCCCTCTCCACTAGTTACAAGTTATGAGCTTTTACTTTTTGACAAAGATAAGGCTTTTTTCTTGTTTGTCCAAAAAGCAATGAGCCTCTTTTATTGAGTTTGGATTGGAAGCCAATGATAAGGAAAAAAGAGATTATTGAAATCGGGAAAAGAATGGCAATAATGTTTACACTACTAATTAAAGTCATTTGGGACGGTTTATTAGAGGTTTTAATCAGTAAATTGTAATGTTATATTTAAAATGGTATTTTTGAATTTTTTTGCAAAAACTTTGTTTACAAAACAAAAAACGGCAAGAACTTTCCTTACAAAGCAAAAAATGGCAAGAACTTTCTTTACAAATCAAAAAATGGCAAGAACTTTCTTTACAAACCAAATTCACGTTTTGGGCCGTTCTTTAAAATTTCAAACATAGTTTTCGAGCAGAACGCCTCATTTCACATTCAAACAGGTGGCCAAAAGTATCCAAAAACACGACTGACGTTCTTTCTTACAACGTTCCTTGCACGTTGGAAAAGATGAAAAATGATGATTAAGGGCCAGACATAAATAACAAAACTTTTGTTTTAAAAACTACCCTACCCTACATTACCTTACCCTACCCTACTCTACCCTACATTACCCTACCCTACTTTATAAAATTTACCCCGCCCTACCATGCCCTATAAAATTCACCATACCCTACCCCACCCTACCTTCTAAAATGTCCGCCGCCTTACCCTCCTCACCCTACCTTATGCTACCCTATAACATTCACCTCACCCTAACTTCCCTACCTTAACATGCTTTACGCTCTCTACTAGAACCTACTGTACCTAATATGTAATGTGCACTCAACTTCCCCCCCTCCCCCCCCCCCCCCCCCTCTCCAGACAGTAATTACCGAGCTAAAAAAACACAGCGCGGCTTCATGTTTAACCGGCTGTCACTAAGAACGTAAAACTTAGTGACAGCCGGTTAAAAATGATAGCCGTGTACAAAAGTGTGTTTTACACCTTGTCGCTTCGAATTTCGAACAAGTCAACCTCGAAATGCGGGCCGATGCGTGCGTTTTGCCATGAAACGAGGCTGGCTTTAAATAGGCGTGGGTTTTTTATTCGGCTTTTCGAATCGACCAAAGTACACGCGGAAAAACGACTGCGGAAGTTGGAGGGATAGGACAACAACCGTCATATTATGTGACAAATGTTTGGCGAGGTCAGGAGAATCAAAAGGTAACAATAGAAATTGAAAAGTTGCGATTTAAGTTGGTCAAATTGTTCGTAGAAGACGTTGAACTAAAATATTCCTAATAACTTTTGAAAAAATTTACTTTTTTCACTGCTCCCCGCTATTACATGATTGTCAACGAGCAAGGACAATATTCATTGTAACTTTTTTCAAAAATTAGGTATTGATCTGAAAATTGATGAAAAGATAGCTCATTCATTACGTCATCTAACTCAAAAAACAAAATTATAAAACGTTTGAAGTTACAGTAATTTTACTGCACCCTATTTTTTAAATTTTTTCTGATTTTTTCGGCAAAAATTTTTGAAAACCAAATATTAATCGAATACCAAACAAAACAATTCATTTTACCATAGCCAACGTTAAGTTAAAATTTTATTGTTATGTTTAAGAATTGAATGGCCAAGATAAGCTACACAACATCGGACAATTAAAGCTCACAATGTCCAGAACCAGTATTATCACGAAGACAACAGTAAGTTTGATAAAGATATGTTACATTTCAAAATGACAAAGATATGTTAGGCGTCATGGGATGAAACATAGGTTATATATCACAAAATGGAGTTTGAAATAAGACAAAATGATACGTTATGACAAAATTTACAAAAATCATTACTGTAAGCCTACAAAAATGACATTTTAAAGAATATTCGAGTATGAAATGATATTTACATTACTATTTACAATCCTATATTCTACTGTGCTAGAATAAACTTAAACCTCTAGATGTATATAATACATATACTAAAGCTACTGTAAGATTATGCAGTGATATGGTATTATAAGATAAGATATTGACCACATTGACCTACTTGATGACATATAGAAAGCTGCCATCATTTAGAAGTCCTAAAGACTAGATATACAAAATAACTTCAAAAGTCCGTAAATATACAAAATAGACAATGTACAACAGCTACATGAGACATCTACCATAATATAATCTGTTTCGACCAGTTATGACAAGATGCATTGAGATAATTTAGAACTACAGTACCAGTAATAGTGCAAACATAATAGTACATCCATTACAGTATTACTACCATTAGAGTACTATCTACATCTGTACTAGCATTACAGTACCAAGAACAATAGCACGCTGCTGACCATCATATTCAATGCCAATTTAGCACTCGCATCCTGGACTGTAATGAAGTTCTCCGTGCCCGTCTCAGCGACGGTCTCCGTGACATCCTCAGCGACGGTCTCAGCTACGGTCTCAGCGACGGTCTCTGCGACTGTCTCTGCGACAGTCCCAGTAACGGCCTCAGTGGATGGTTCTCCTTGTGGTTGGTATGGTACTTTGTCTCCTCCTTTATCCTCGAATAATTGATCTCCAACCATTGTCATCAGATCCAGTGCTACTCCATTCGACCAGCCAAATCCTGCCTAAAACAATATAGAAATTAGCCAAACTTTACTAAAAGGCCATAATATACACATACACATAAAAATACAAAAAAAATTTTTTAAATTTAAAATCAGACTTTAAAGCCATGAAAAAGGCTAAATTTCGAACAGTAACATCTGATCTATGATAATATCAATTTTGATCACTACTCATAACCAGGTCGATTCAAAATGTGAAAACTTATCATAAAACCCTAATAACAATCTTCTCAAGCTTTCAAAATAAATTCCACTCACTTACAAGCCCGATTTTATACCCAAACTGTCAAAAACAAAAACAAGGTTTTTATTCATCTATGATAATATAAATTTCATCCTCACCCTAAATAACTCAACTTTTAATAAGCAAAACCTATCATAACAGCTCAACCACATTTTTCACAAGATATTAAGTAATATTCTACCCACTTTCAATCTCAGTTTCATACCTAAAACATAAAAACCGATTATCAACCTTTTGTGATCTATGATAATATAAAATCTGCTTCTTATGCTGAAACTTTTATCCCCAAACATCCAAATCCTAAAGTATCACCTTAAACAAACTCTTCTTCAATTTTCAAAACCATCTTTCACCCCGTTTAACTTCATCTTCATACCTAAAAATCAAAAACCAATAACAACATGCATACCTGAACTTCATATTCTCCACCTTCGCCGGCTCCCTCTTTCCTCGTTACATCATACTTCTCCCACATTACTCCGGTCTTATTGAAGGTGTGGTAATTATTGTGAAGCCATTTCTTCGCCAAGGTAACTCCTGTCTTCTTCAGAACCGGGCTCGTTGCCTGATACATTGCCACAATAACCATGTGGTTTAACGGCGCCCAACCGTTGGGGAAGTCCCATTGTTGGTTGGTATCTTTCTTTGTGCTGAAATCGGTCCATATTAACATAATTAGTTGATTTAACATAAAATAAACTATTATAAAAATAGTCAACTTCATCTACAACAACATCCTTACCTCGTTGAAATTCCGCCGTCAAAGTCAAACACGCCGCTTTTCTTCATACTCTCGTGAATCTTATTTTCCACACTTTCTTCTAGGCCCTCCACACACTTGGTATACATTGGAGTGACAGAGCTTGGATAAAAGTTCAAGTTATGAGCTTTGGACCTGATATTGTAGTCGAACCATCCTGCTTGTTCTCCATTATCAACAAAGAAGATTTTCTGAACCAGATCACGTTGTTTTTCGTATTGTTCCTTGTACTTCTGAGCGTATGTTTGGTTTTCTAAACAATTCCGTTGATTTTTGAACAAAAAGCCACAATTTATTGAAAAATATAACGAAATGTCACAGAAAATATCGGATTTGACTAAAGTTCAAAAATCTCGCCAAAACCTTCAAACTTACCAGTCTTCGCATGATATTCAGCCAAAATCTTGTAGTTCCAACAAATATACGCGTTCAAATCTACGGGTAAGACGTTGGTCGTCTCGATAGTAGACAATTCGTCTCCTGCGAACCATCTGCTGCTGAAATCCCAGCCGGATTCGGCCGCCGATGCCAAATCTCTCCATGTTTGAGTCTTGTCTTTGTTCGAGGTGAGCTGAATGGTTAGATTGGCATCTTCTCCAAAGGATTCTGGGCGTGGAGCAGTTGAATCGGCACGGTATTGGAAGACTTGGTGAGATTCGCCAGATTCCAACTTAACTTCCAGTTTTCTGTGTTTTTCCCAAAACAATTGCTCCTGAAATGAAAGTAATGTAAATATAAAATTTGTGTTTGTTTATTCTTTAGGTGTTAATGTCAATTTACTGTTAGGTTTTCCTCAAAACTCGGAAGAAATCTCAAGTTTCGCGAACTCCTATCGAAAGGAGGTCATGGATAACATAACATCTCAACGTTTCTCATTTTCCTTGGAGCAAAGGAACAAAATGTTGGTTTTACAAGCTGTGCGAGTTTGTTCTTTAGGTACTAAGATCAATTTCCAGCTTAACTTTCGTCAAAACTCAAGGATAAAATCTAAATTTCCCAATCTTCTTTCAAAAAGCCTCATGGATAATATTTAAAAAAAACTTCTCTTGACTGTTCATCAAGCAAACAGACAAATTTCATTTTTTAAAAATTACTCCTGCTTCTTCTTTAGCTAATAACATAAATTTTCACCCCAACTTTCATCAAAAATCAAGGATAACATCAAATTTCCCAAGCTCCTTTCAACAAGCCCCTTGGATAATATAAAATTCGCTAAAATCGTACCTTTTCACATGCATACATGTACTTTCTCATGAAAGCCATGTTCTTTGTGACCTTGTAGTACTCGTAAAACATTCCCGTGAGGAGTGGTGGTTGAGAACGACGTAGATAATAGACTCGGCCGCCATTTGGGATCATGCCGTATCGGTCGATGATGGTGACAAAGTTGATTAGCATGTGTTCGACGGTTGTGTACATGCCTAGAAAATATCATTTTGACACAGTTATAATTAATTTCATCTTAAACTTCATAGATTTTTTGCATTTTTCAAACATATTATAGTAGACCATCATACCTGAGGCTAGAAGTCCCTTGATAGTCCAGTAGGTGTCCCAATAGTAAAATTCGCGAAATCTACCACCCGGTACGACGAATGAGTTCGGTACGTAGATCAGCGAGTATCTGGGTTCTTGGGTTTCAACTTCTGGAGTCATTTCACGGCACAGCTGGCGCCAGATTCCATTCAGCTTCAGAGCCCATTCTCGGTAGCCTGGATTTGAGATTTTGTCCAGAAGTGCTGGTTCTGGGTCCCAATCCTTTAGATTACACCTGAAATTATCAAAATTTATAGAAAGTCCATCAAAAATGACATTTTTAGCCATCCTTCCTCATTTTCTCGCCGCGTCATAAAGAATTGGGTGATTTACATAGCAAAACTAATGTAAATTTTCCAATTCTTTTTGACGCGATCGAAAAAACAAACAAAAAAGGTCCTTTTCCTTACAAAAATGCTAAAACTTTGTTTCCAAACATCAAATACAACATCAAAGCCCCAATAACTTACTCTTGGAGCTCAATACAAGTGGCATCAAAGTGATCGTCGACAAAATTTTGCAACTTTTCTCGAGTAATCGCGTCGTCCGTTGGGAACAGTGCATTAAAATTCTGAAGCACGACCTTAGGCTCGTACTTGAGGGGTTTGTCCACAAATGTCTTGGAATCATGGTATAGGCCGTGTGATTGAACGGCTTGAAGTATGCGGCCGGAACAGTAGATGAAATGGTTGTGTGGTGCTGTTATGTTGTCACAGGCGTACAATGCCTCAGGGATTTGGTCGATTTTGAAATTCGCTAGCACTTCGGCTTGGACTGCGGCTAAAATATGGATTTTTAAAAGCTGAATGGGTATTAGGGCATTAAAGTTTGGCAGTATTTTTACAATTTTTTTATTTTTCAGGCTTTCGTGGTGAGACCGAATTTTATTTTCAAAAAACCTAAAATTTTATAAATTTGGCCTTATATAGCCTTAAAATGGTACAAAAAACCATTTCTTTTTTAAAAGTTTTCGTTGTAAGACCTATCAATTTTTCAAAATTTAGAATTTTCAAATAATCCTAGTTGGTCCCACCACGAAAGCTTTTAAAAAGTCATAAATAATCGCAATTTGCCACTTTTAACCCATAAAAGTTCAAACTTCAAAACCATTTAAAAAAAATTCAATTTTATGACAACCAACTTTGGTCCCACCACGAAAACCTTCAATCCATAAAATCCGCTTATTTCCCCAATTTTAGTCACAATTACCTTTGCCTCGTTCAAATTTTCGTCGGTTTGTGAACAAATGCGGTGCTGAGAAGTAAATAGTCGGCTGTACAGTAACGATATAGCCTGATACAGTAAGTAGTGTAATATACCGTATACTGAATGGAAATTTGAAGCATATTGAGGGATAGTACACCGCGGAAAGAAGTTCACAAAAAACCGACCAAAACTTGAAACAAACAAAAGGAAAAGGCACCAATTTTAGGAAAAATTAGCTTCTGCAGCCTGCAGGAGCGTGGGCGCAAGCTGCGAACCAACATAACGAAAAAACAGCACCAAAACGACCAAAAAGCCCTACCAATAGCACAACACTTACCCATAAACATTATCGATACTAACGTTAAAGCGCATTTTTGTATGAGTGTGAGCATGATATGTGTGTCCGATATGGTTGATATGTGCGAACCCAAGTTGTGCCCTTCTGAAAATAGGTCAGTTTAAGTTTACTTTAGGTATAAAAAATGTTAAAAATGGTCTTAAAACACGTAAAAGACATGGTCACGCATTATACAACAAGTTTTTAACCAAATTTCTACAAGGGTCTATTATAAAACGGCATTTATTAAAAAAAGTTTCAAAAAATCCAAAAAAGTGAGTATGGTGTATGTAATCCATCATAACATAAAAACTAAAAAAAATGTTGAAAGAATATATACAGTTTTAGGTAGCTAAAAGACTCTAGAACAACTTACGAACAACGAATTTCAAAAATCGACCAGTCGAAAGGCCAAAAGCTGGCGCTGAATGAAAAATTCACAAAATCTGTGGTTTTTTACTTTCAAAAGGTCAAAAGTGTGTGAAAAATTAAAATTTTTCAAAAATTTTTAAATCCACTAGAATTTTGTTTCCATTATAAAGCTTTTTTTCTAATCTTCAGTTTTTCAAAAGTTCGACTTTAAGTAATAAAATTAAAAAAAAGTTAAACGATCCGGCAAAAATATTGTTTTCCGACGAAATATTGCCATTTTAGCTTGAATTTCAATATGATCCACCACATAGACCCTAGAATACAGTATAAAAACTTGCTTTAGCTTAATAGCTAACATATATACTAATCTATATACTATGACGCATCGTACTTACTGATCTACGATTAAGAAACGAACGTCCGCCCCCTCCAATACGAAAATTTACTTCCGATTTTTGTTCAAAATTTGGCCAAATTTTGTGGTTTATACCTCGAAACACCTCCGATATTGTAGTTTCTTGCCCGACAAGATGGTTTATTACTCGACGAGATTATAATATAGAGTTATTATAGTCAAATAATGAGTTATAATCAGTTATTTGACCAGATATAATGTTTTAGGTATCAAAGTAAAGTGAGTCATTGAAAATTGTTACCTAAAATTCCAAAAATGGGCAAAATCTTCAAAAATTGAAAGACCTGTTACCTAAACATCAGAAATTTCAATCTCAATATTATACTTTACAAAAACTTTGATTTGTTACCTAAAAATTCAAAAATCTAGAGAAACCTAGAGAATAGCTATCTAAAACAATATAACCCTTTAAAAACATCAAATTCAACAAAATTCCAATCAAACACTCCACAAACAACAATTATTGTCCAAATTATTTCAATTTCCAAGCAACTATCAATGAAAAATGGCATTTCTCGTAAAAAATCTAAAATACGACAGAACTTATTGGACATAGACAATGAAAAAGTAAAAAAATAAAAAACAAGTGATAAGAACACAAAAATGCCGAAAAGAACTTTGAAGATTTCACAATTTTCAACAACTTTTGTAAATTAGACGAAATGTCACAGGCAATTATTGATTGAGACAAAGTGTCACAAAAATTAATGGATTTTTAATTATATATCTAAATTGACGTTATAGACAGACTTTGCGACTAAATTGACATTATAGATCTCCCGAAGATAAAAACTTTAAAAAATATAGTTTTAAAATTTTGAAAATAAGCCTAACAAGCAATATCTAGCAGAACTAAGCCTAAATTGATAAAAAGTTAAGCCTAAAACAACATGAAAACAAAAATATTGATGCTTTAATTTCAAAAATAAAATTTTTTACCAAAAATCTGTCTAATATCATTGTTTTCTCAAGCCTGGGGCTAGAAATACGGCTAAGGCTCTGGGCAAGGGCTCTGGGCTAGGGCTCTGGGCCATGGCTCTGGACTAGGGGCTCCGGGCTAGAGCTCTGGGCTAGGGCTCTGGGCTAGGGCTCTGGGCTAGGGCTATTTAAATGCAAAATAATAAAAATACAAGCCTAAAAAACAAAAAAAAGTTCAAAAATCGCCTAATAATAAGCCTAAACTCATGATTCTTGTTCGTTCTTCGCCCTTTTTTTCAAAATGACTAGTTCATAAGAGCTGCTCATTGTGAAAGTAATTAATCGACTGGCTTTTCTCGACGTTACAATTGAAACATTTTTCGAAAACCACGTGACCGACAATGTAAAAAGGCTTTGAAATCGAGTTTCGAACGTGTTTCGAAGCGTCTGCAGCCTAAAACAACATTATTAATGTGGTTATGATTTATGCAAATAGTCGGAAATTAAAAATTTTTGCTTTTTATTGTGTGAACGGCCTTAATTACTAATTCTGAACGTTTAGTTTGGAGATAATGAGGTGGTTTTAGGCTTGTATTTGAATTAAGTTTGAGAGAAGGGCAAAGAACGACGGAGCTGCCATTTTTAAGCATAACTTTTTAAAAAAGCTTTATTTTTAGCCTTAGCCTTAGCTTTAGCTTTAGCCTTAGCCTTAGCCTTAGCCTTAGCCTTAGCCTTAGCCTTAGCCTTAGCCTTAGCCTTAGCCTTAGTCTTAGCCTTAGCCTTAGCCTTAGCCTTAGCCTTAGCCTTAGCCTTAACCTTAGCCTTAGCCTTAGCCTTAGCCTTAGTAATAGCGTAAATCTTTCTTTCCTAACACTTTAAAGTTGCCACATCCGTACCTTAACAATGCCCACCCTAAACCGATCTTAAGCATAACTTTTATTAACCTAGCTTCACTTTAAAACTGCTCTAGCACTACCTTAACTTTTCCTAGCGTTTGCCTTAAGCCTGCCAGAGGCTTACCCTTCCTCTATCTATCCCAGCCCTACGTTATCACTAAAACTAATCCATGAATAAAGTTTTTTTTTTCGGTTTTTATACGAAATATTTTCAAGTGATTTCGCACTTGAAAATGCACCCAGCACGTGTGGCTAGCCATAAAGTTGATTCAAGTGAAAATATTCAATTTCATATTCACATCGAATAATCTGGAAAAAAGGTAAAATACGTTGGACTTAGTAATGAAAAATTATTTAAAAATTAAAAAAAAATTTTAAAATTAAAAATCAAAAAAAAGTTATTAAAAACATTTAAAATGAGTAAAAAGCTGTTGACAATTTGGTTACACGAAAAAGTTTAATCCACATAACCCCTGGTTATGTTGGATGGACGGGTTGTTATGAACCAGATTAAAAGAATTACGTCATTTTGAAATTTTGATCGAATATTAATTTCAAATAATCAAAACAAACACTATTTTGCATTTTAAATAGCCCTAGCTTTAGCTCTATCCCAAAGCCCTAGCCCAGAGCCCTAGCCCAGAGCCCTAGCCCAGAGCCCTAGCCCAGAGCCCTAGCCCAGAGCCTTAGCCCAGAGCCCTAGCCCAGAGCCCTAGCCTAGAGCCCTAGCCCAGAGCCCTAGCCCAGAGCCCTAGCCCAGAGCCCTAGCCCAGAGCCCTAGCCCAGAGCCCTAGCCCAGAGCCCTAGCCTAGAGCCCTAGCCCAGAGCCCTAGCCCAGAGCCCTATAATATTGATTTTTTACCTTTTTTTACTTTTACCTGCCTTAAACCTACCTTAGCATTGCCCGGCCTCAGCTCAATATAAGCCTACTCTTACTCTCAAAATTATCATGCCCTGCCCTACCTTAAAGATTAGATTACTGTGGCCCTAGTCTTAATTTATTCTACTTTACCCTATTCTACCACACCCTACCCTAGCCTACCCCACCCTAGCCCACAGATCTAACATAGCCTCACAGCTCTAACAAAACCTACTGTAACCCTACCTTTAATTAATTTTACTGTATATATACCAATAAATTCAAAACTACAGTAAGACCAAACCCAGTCCACGGTATTCCAGCCAGTTAATTTTAAAAAACCCTAAGGCGTTCGTGAAATTGTTTTGTTTAAAAAATAATTGTAAACCGCCTTTCACCGTACTTTCGTCGTCTATGCTTTTTTCGCTATTACAACCACGAATCAACCAATGTGAAGACAACAAAGCGAACGGTAAAGGATAGACGTTCTCGGAACAGCAAGGGCTCGAGTTGTCAAGTAATCTACCCCTAAACGTCTGAGAAACTTTTTTTGAAATTTAAAAACAATTTTTTTACTGTGTAAGGTAAAATGAAGGTATGGTAGACAATAGCTAGGGCTCGCGTTAAGGCTAGGCTATATCATGCGCTAGTGTTTCAAGTAGACATGGGGATTAGTTCGAGCCGAGCCTGCAAAATCAAAGCCCGGGCCGAAAAGCCCGGCCCGAAAAGCCTGGCTCCTAAAGCCAGGCCCGGCCCCGAAAAGCTCGCCCCACATAGCCCGGCCCGAAAAGTACAGCTCGAAAAGTCCAGCCCGAAAAGCCCAGCCCGTTACCACGTAAAAAATTGGGACCGGGACGGGTTGGCCCTAAAAAAATTTTTTATTGAGCCGCGTCAAACACTCATAGTCTGGCTTGGCCCGGCTTGTTCCCCATGTCTTGTTTCACCCTACGCTACTTTACCCTACCCTGCTCAATCCTACTCTAAACCAAGACACATAATGTTTTATAGTATAACTTGTCACCCGCAACCTGCGCAGTACAATCGACCAAGACTCTGTTTTGTCCAAACTCTAGCAAAAACTTTGTTTACAAATCAAGTAAAAAATTAAAAAAATAATAAAAACCAAAACCCTTCCTTCCCTCCTCCCGCATCCGAGGAGGGAATTTCATCCCCCACCCCCCCTTCCAGATTTCGCTGCTTATTCTACCATACTCTAGCCATACGTTTAAAGTAACAAAACTAACCACAAAACTATTTTTACATCTTACATTCCTATATTTTTAGCCATGCTTTTTTCATAAATAACTATTAATGTAACCCCCCCCCCCTTCTCATATGATTACACTTTGTCAGTGACAAGTCTATTCGTCTCAATATTACAGCAAAATGATTTATTTACTACCAGTTGATATATTAATAGCGTCTCTACTGTTTCACGTATCACAATCAACAAACAGGTCTAAATATAAAAAAAATCAGCCTTTTTAAAATTTTTTAAAAATTTTTTGAAATTTTTCAAATTTTACAAAACACAACTTCAAAATGACTAGAGTTTTGAAAATTGTCAAGAACTCATGTTATATTATTGTATGACAGCATTCCTTGAACAAACAATCGAATTTGCACGTTAGAGACAAACGTTTGCTTTCCCAGTTGTATTTACAACTTAATTCCTATACAAACTATGGGTACATTTGAAAAAAATATATTGTCACTTTGCCTCATCCCTCTCACCATATCACCCATTCAAAATTTACCATGCCAAAACATGTCTCTTCAAAATATTGAACTTGAAGGCTAAAGAACAGATTTTAAGCTTTTTTTTACAAAAAATGTCAAAATTTTTTTACCCCACTCAAAATTTTTTGAAAGAGAAATTTATAAGAACAATTTTTTTTAAATATAAAAATGTTGTTTTGAGCTTTTCCTTGTTTTAAAAATATTATCCACCACCAAACAAAATTTACCCCGCCCAAAATTTTTTTTCTCAATTTTTTACAAAAACGTGCCTTATAAATATAAAAAAGTGTATTTTAAACTTTTTTGTAATGACTCACCTCTCTCCTTATTTACCCCCATTACCCTACCCCCTCTCTAAAAAATTTATCAAAAATTTACCCCGCCCAAAAATTTTTTAAAAGAAAATCATCTAAAACACGCTTTTTATACAAAAAATTGGTTTTTAAGTTTTTTCCTCGTTTAAAAAAATATTATCAACCCCTAAAAAAAATTTACCCCACCCAAAATTTTTTTTTCAAATTTTCACAAAAACGCGCCTTTAAAACACAAAAAATCATATTTTATGATATTTTATAATAATAGCACCTACCTTTTTCCTTATCTTGCTACTCTACCCCAACCCTCAAAATTTATCAAAATTTTACCGCGCCCAAAAATTTTTAAAGCAAAACGTTAGAAACACGTTTTTTATACAAAAATAGGGTTTTTAATTGTTTGTTTTCTTTAAAAAAAATTATCCCCACCCAAAAAATTATCCACCCCCGAAAATTTTTTCCCCGCCCAAAAAAATTTTTCTACAATTTTACAAAAATGAATTTACAATAGTAAAAAGTAATGTTAACTTAGCTTCATAAAGCCGCATATTACCACTTAACTCTACAAAGACACATATTAACGAGATTTGATATAATGTTCATGATATAATAATAGGCTGGTCAAAAAGTGAAAAGCGTGGTAGTAAAGAAGCGAATGCAAAAATGAAAACAGGCCAAATTGGAGGAGGGAAACGCATCCGGGAACTCGAAAAAAGTGTTCATTCCCGTTTTGAATGAACAAAACAAGAAGCCAATGACGTATTTATAACATTACACTTGGCGCTAATTAATAAGTTATTACCTAAATTAATGTGAATTTAACAATTTTTTTGCAATTTTTACAAAAATTTTGATTTTGTTGGTTTTTAAATTGTTTTTTTTTGTCTGGAAGGTGAAAAAAAGCAAGAACTTTCTTTACAGAACAAAAAATGGCAAGAACTTTCTTTACAAAACAAAAAATAGCAAGAACTTTCTTTACAAAACAAAAAATGGCAAGAACTTTCTTTACAAATGAAAAAATGGCAAGAAGTTTCTTTACAAAACACAAAATGGCATGAACTTTCTTTACAAAACAAAAAATGGCAAGAACTTTCTTTACAAAACAAAAAATGTCAAGAACTTTCTTTACAAAGCAAAAAATGGCAAGAACTTCCTTTACAAAACAAAAAATGGCAAGAACTTTCTTTACAAAACACAAAATAGCAAGAACTTTCTTTACAAAACAAAAAATGGCAAGAATTTTCATTTTGTTACCTAAAATTTGGCTAGCCACTAAAGTCATCGTCTTATATACGACAACATTATTTGTTACCTAAAAAGTGCAAGCTCTTTGTGTTGAACTTAAAATCAGAAAAAAGTTGGTGATAATCCACCCTGTTTACCCCTACCTCCCTCTACCCCTCCCTTCATACTCCATCCCCCTCTCTTCTCCTTTTCACCCCTCTCTTCCCCTCTTATCCCTTCCTTAATCCCCTACCTTATTCCTTCTCTTCCCCCTCACAGTTTCTTCTCTCCCTCCCTCCCCCCCCTATTTTGGTGTCTTAACAAGGCTAAAAATGCTAAAAATACATCTTATTGTATCCATTTTTGTCTTCAAATTTTTATTTTCGTCTGGTTTCGAAACCGACTTTTCATTTTTTCACTTTTTGTTACAAAGGAACGGAAATGGTCATAAATCAGCGTGAGCAAACAGTTCGAGAACGTCTCGAGGTGTTATGATACAAAACGGATTGAGATTACTCTTATTAGCCATTTTTTGTTTTGTAAAGAAAGTTCTTGCCGTTTTTGTTTTGTAAAGAAAGTTCTTGCCGTTAGAAAGTTCTTGCCATTTTACAGTTTGTAAAAAAAGTTCTTGCCATTTTTTGCTTTGTAAAGAAAGTTCTTGCCATTTTATGTTTTGTAAAGAAAGTTCTTGCCGTTTTTGTTTTGTAAAGAAAGTTCTTGCAATTTTACGTTTTGTAAAGTAAGTTCTTGCCATTTTTGTTTTGTAAAGAAAGTTCTTGCAATTTTACGTTTTGTAAAGTAAGTTCTCGCCGTTTTTGTTTTGTAAAGAAAGTTCTTGCAATTTTACGTTTTGTAAAGTAAGTTCTTGCCATTTTTGTTTTGTAAAGAAAGTTCTTGCCATTTTTTGGTGTGTAAAGAAAGTTTTTACCATTTTCTCATTTTTGTATCAAACATAGCAAATTCCGAACTTCAAAAACGCTAATAAGCCTAACGAACCCGTTAAGCCTAAAATCTTATTTAATCCAAAAAACCTCATTTAATAAGCCTAAGACAGCCCGTATGCCTAAAACTCTATTTAGTAAGCCTAAAAATTACGCTAAGCCTAAGATTTTATTTAATAAGCCTAAGACTGCCCGTAGGCCTAAAACTCTATTTAGTAAGCCTAAACATTACGCTAAGCCTAAGATTTCATTTAATAAGCTCAAGACTGTTGTTAGGCCTAAAACCTTATTTTTTAAAGGCTAAAAATTACACTAAGCTTAAAAATTCCATTTTTTAAATTTAAAAAAAAATTAAATTTAAGTTTAAAATCCACTATATTGCAAAATTTTTAGAAATTTAAAAAACTCATTTTAAAAAAATCTCAAAATCAAAAAAAAAATGGATGAAAAGTGTTAAAAGTTTGTGACAAAGTAAAAGTAGATTAATAATTTATAAAAATCACCGACTGACCTGAATCTGATCTGTTCTTCTCCGCCCCTCCCCTCACCATAATAGAATGGTATTTCGAAACCGCAACGACCTTTGAACCATTTTTTGGTCGGTTTCGAAATACCGTTATAGCGTAAAGGTTAATTTGCATAATATTGGAAAACTTATTTTAGATGATCACTTTGGAGATCATCGTATTTGAGTATAAGCGACAGAGGAGCCTAACGTAAAAAAGTGATTTTTAAAGATTAAAGAACACAGTTTTAAAAGTATTGAGCTAAACATTGACTAACAAGTAGACTAAAGCTAGAACTAGAGTGAGCACTTAGGCTATGGCTACGGTTACAATTAGTACTAGAACGACATTTAAGGCTAGTACTGAGCTTTAGGTAAACGCTTGGGCTAAGAATAATACTAAAGCTAGAACTATGCCTAAGGCTAAGGCCATGGCTGACTAAAAATGGCTATGGATAAAATTGAGACTATTTAGAACGGGTTCCAGAACTGTGGCTAAGTCATGCATAACCTTTGGACTAACCCTAATACTACGGCTAGAGTTAGAGCCCGGACTGTGGCCAGAACTAACAAGTCACCTTAGCTAGAGCTAAGGCGACTGGCTGGCGATAGAACTCAAACAAAGACTAAATATAGGGCTAAAGATAAAGCCGAAGTTACAAAAAGCTTAAAAACAATTTAATTTATTATAAATAGTCATTAAAAGAAAAAAATACAATAAAACTCGTAACAACAACAGCATCATGCTATAGTAAATATGATGGTTATAAATAATTATAATATAAAGAGCATTTTGACTAGTAATTCATGTAAAGACCAATTAAAAAATATTGCAATATTTGGCTGATAAATTAATAATTTTCAAGAAATAACAATAGACAATATATTATCGTATAACAAACACTTTGGCACAAAAAAGTTAATAAAAATGAAAAAAAGAGGCTAGAATTCATAAAATTTGGCTAAAATTAAAAAATAAAACATAATAATTCATTATACAGTATTACTACAGTCATTTTAACCTAAAATAACAAATTTCATGACGTTTCGAATCCAAAACAAATAGCAATGCCTCTTCTATTAGGTTGAACCAAAAGTAGCGGGACACAGTTGACTTAAAAATTAAATGAAAAGTGTCCCGTTACTTTTGGTGCAACAAGTAATAGCACTGCCATTTCAAGTACCACTGCTATTTCAAATAGCACTGCCATTTCAAAGAGCACTGCCATTTCCATTCCAACAACCCTTCTATCAAGCCAATTCCTCATCAAAATCCCCATCCTCGGCCTCGCTAGCCTGCGACGAAGCCGGGTCGATTTTGATGATCGGTCGATTCGCATACAGTGAGTTGTTGATGATAACACTACTATTCTTGGCCACATTCGTCGCATTTTGTGCCATTTTCGGTCGAAACCAGGGGAAACGAGCCGCTCGCTTCAGTTGACGTTGCTGAAAGTTTCGGAAAAGGTTCCGTTCCGACGAGACCGTGCCGTTCCGCCGGCTTTGATCGATGAAGGCGCGCATCTGAAGGGGAAAAATGATTATAGTTATGATATGTAAGGGTATACCTTGTAAAAGTCATAAAGAAAGCAACAGTAGGGTAGAAGTAGAGACAAGAGTCAAAGGTAAGGATAAGGATAAAGGTTAAACTAGAGATAGGGCTAAAGCTAAGGCCGAGGCTAGAGCCAAGGCTCTGGGCTGGAGCTAGGGCTAAGGTTAAAGCTAGTGGCAAGGCTAAAAATCGAGAAAGGCTAGGACTAAAAACTAGTAGCATTCTAGCTTAGCTAAAGTAACAAAAAACTAAAAATAACTTAACAATACCTATCGCAGAACGCTCATATCATACGTTACAGTTATTTGCGCCACCTAATTTTAGCTAACTTTAAACTTGTTTTGATGGAAAATATCTTTAAAAAGCGTTTTTTCAATTTCAAAGATCGTTTTGATAAAAAATAATCAATGCAGAAACTATTAAAACAATTGCAAAGAGTTATAAGCCTAAGCCTGCTTTTTATTCTAAGCCTAGGTGGAATCTAAACTTAAGTTTTCAGCAAAATTCTAGGCCTCAGCATAAGCTTAAAAAAATAAAAGTATAAGCCTTCAACTTATTCCAAACCTCAGGCTAAACCTGAAAACACATTTAAGCCTATATCAAAATATAAGTTTAAGCCTGAGCCTCAGACTAAGCCTAAGGCTAAGCCTTAACCTAAGCCTAAGACAAAGCCTCAGTCTAAGCCTAAGCCTAAGCTTGAGCCTGAGCCTGAGCCTAAGCCTACCCCTAACGTATTCTACTCTACCCTACTCTAATCTACCCTAAATTACCTCACTGTACAAAATCTGAAAAAATCAAAAACCATACCTTATGTCCCTCGCCAAAAGCTAACTGCCGAAAAACAATGGCATGAACAATGATGATCAAGAAGAACAACCACATGAATCCGACCACATGAACCGCCCTCTTCACACTGAATGCCAACACCATCAATGTTAATATAATGGCAGCGCCGATAAAACGATATGCCATATCAAATTTGATCCACAGCTCGTACGGTGCTGGTGATGTGAACATAGTACCACGTAGGATGCGACATACTTGGAAGTATAGGCTTAGGTTGCCTAGTAAGAGGGAGGTGATGATTAGAATTAACCATAACGGCCACTGAAATGTCATGAACAATATGTGATTTGAAATGGCAAGAACTTTCTTTACAAAACAAAAAATGGCAGAAACTTTCTTTACATAACAAAAATGGCAAAAACTTTCTTTACAAAACAAAAAATTTAAAGAACTTTCTTTACAAACTGAAAAATAGCAAGAACTTTCTTTACAGAACCTAAAACTCACATATTCCTGATTGGTACCCTCTTTCATCCACTTCACAGCCAAGAATCCAGACGCAAATAAGCCGATAATAATCCAGAATATTGTGACTAATAAGAAGAAGGTGGTTAGAAGACTGTAGCTAGTCCGACATCGTTTAATTTTGTCCGACGCTCGATGAGAATCTGCACGGTGCAGCATTCTAAAAAAATTAATATTATATTACACTAAGAACGTATTTTACAATAGCATACCACGAAGCTTTAGCCCCTCGCCCTAAATCTAGTCCTAGCTCTAGCCCTAGTCTCAGTCCAAGTCCTAGCCCAGATCCATAGCCCTAGCTCAAATCTCTAAGCCTAGCCCAGAGCCCTAGCCCAGAGCTATAGCCCAGAGCCCTAGTCCAAAGCCCTAGCCCAGAGCCGTAGACCAAAACCCTAGCCCAGAGCTCCAGCCCAGAACCATAGCCGAGAGCCCTAGCTCCAGCCCTAACCCTAGCCCCACCTCAACTCTTACTAAAAGATTTACATTCCGTCCACATAGTATTGACTTTTTAATTTTTTAAACTTTTTTACTCGTTTTTGCGTCGGCAATACCCCCCTACCTTAACCCGGTCCTACCTTTCTCTACGTCTACTCCTACTCTTAAATTTACCACGTCTTGCCCTAATCTGAGCCTCATTAAAAGTCTACCCCCTACCCTACAATTTATTACGCCTTGCTCTACCCTACCAATCCCAAATTCCTTGACATAGACCGAATCTACCTATCCCCACTCTATTCCTTCCCTACCCTACCCGTTCGAACTGAAGATGAAATTAAAAAATGAATAATAAGATTTGTCACTTCGAAGCGTCAACTTTTATTAATAGAGTCCATTAGAATATGACATAGATAAGTTAATTACACCTTGCAGTGTCAAGAATCACAGAAATGTATTATGAAAAAGAAGACGGTCGAAATGAACGTCAAATAATGTTTTAAATGGCAACACTAACACTTTAAATTAAGCCTAGAAAACCCATTTATAATTACAAGCTTAAAATAAACCTAAAAATAAATTTTTGAATAAATATAAGTCTAAAAATAAGCCTAAAAAAGATCCTGTTTGAAATATAGGCCTAAAAACAAACATAAATAATCATCTTTAACGTATAAGCCTAAAAAGTCACCGTAAAAACATAAGCCTAAAGCTAAGCCTAAAAAATCAACTTTGAAATATAACCCTAACACTAAGCCTAAAAGATCGACTTTAAAATATAAGCCTAAAAATTTTTAACAGTAAGCCTAAGACTAAGCTTATAAATACAAAAAAATCTTTTATTATTATGTATAAACGTAAGCCTAAGAAAAAAATTGCATTAGCCATAGAACAAACCTAAAAGTCAATCAAAAACAACTACCCTAGAATTCCCAGCCATTCCATACCTTATCCTACACTCCCTACACACACTACCCCTACTTTTTTAAATTATAAGCCTAAAAACTGTATACACAAAAAAAAACTTGATAATCCAAATTTAAGCATTAAAAACCTGTAACTAGCCGACCACACGTGAATAACATCAAAGAAGAAGGCAATGTATAACACAACGAAAATGTCAAATTCGATTTACGAACACATAGCCAAAACATACTAAAGAGAAACACAAGTTCCTTTCTACTACGTTTTCTATTTTAAGAACTAAACGACCCACCCTACCCTATCCTGCCCTGCCCTACCCTACCCTACCCTACCCTACCCTACCCTACCCTACCCTACCCTACCCTACCCTACCCTACCCTACCCTACCCTACCCTACCCTACCCTACCCTACCCTACCCTACCCTACCCTACCCTACCCTACCCTACCCTACCCTACCCTACCCTACCCTACCCTACCCTACCCTACTACCCTACCCTATTCTACCGTACTACCCTACCCTCCTCTATTCTGCCTACCAGCCTTAACCTTGCCTTATCTCTACTCCATCCCTGCCCATTCTACACCCCTGTCTTCGACTTACCCCTGCCGTTTCTATTATTGAACCTTCTCTTTGCCTTAACATTGTCCTTTCTAAAGCTCCCCCCCCCCTCCATCTTAGCGTTATCTCAATTTCTACCATTACCCTGAAAACTAATTTGCACTTCGTCCACATATTATCGATTTTTCTCTCCAATTCACCTGTAACTTACTACAACACGATACCCTACCCTATCCTATCTTAAAAATTCTAGCCTGACTAAAAAAAGTAAAAAAACATAAACCATTAGACACATTAACCTTTTTAAAAACAGGAAACAAAGATTGTAACTAAGGAGGGACAAAAAGCGAATGTTTTTTAAAATTTAAACTCTTGAGCTTTTCACTTATTCCAAGCCTGTCATTAAACAAATAAGACATGGTTGACAACAGTGACATAGAGGCTAATCTATGACCTAAAACTACGTTTTAAGCATAATTACTTGTAAAGAAAGTTCTTGCCATTTTTTGTTTTGTAAAGAAAGTTCTTGCAATATTATGTTTTGTAAAGAATGTTTTTGCTATTTTTTGGTTTGTAAAGAAAGTTCTTGCCATTTTTTGTTTTGTAAAGAAAGTTCTTGCCATTTTTCGTTTTGTCAAGAAAGTTCTTGCCATTTTTCGTTTGAAAAGAAAGTTTTTGCTATTTTTTGGTTTGTAAAGGAAGTTCTTGCCATTTTTTGTTTTGTAAAGAAAGTTCTTGCCATTTTTCGTTTTGTCAAGAAAGTTCTTGCCATTTTTCGTTTGAAAAGAAAGTTTTTGCTATTTTTTGGTTTGTAAAGGAAGTTCTTGCCATTTTTTGTTTTGTAAAGAAATTTCTTCTCAATTTTGAGTTTGTAAAGAAATTTCTTGCCAGTTGTTCATTTTAAAAAATTTTTCGTTACCTAAATTTCATTTGTGACCCCCACAAGCCTAAAAAATTAGCCTAAGAAACCCCAAAAACCATTAAAAAACGCCTAAAATAGGCGTTTTTTCAAAATTTTATAAATTTCAATAAATTTCAAAACCCAAAATTCAAAAAAAAATCAGTAACTTTTTCCTTTGAAAAGAGCAAAAGTATGTGTTTGAAACAAATCGGCCTCAGGCTATCAAACAAAGTACGTTAAATGAACGTAAAAACATATTTTACAGAGTATTTGGGCAGCGAGACGTCATTAATTGCTCGGGAATCGTCTTTTCTCGGCCAATTTAGATACTTATTTTACTTTTGAATTTTGGTGAAACTGCTGCGAAAAAATAGCAAGAACTTTCTTTACAAAACAAAAAATGGCAAGAATTTCCTTTACAAATCAAAAATTGCAAGAACTTTCTTTACAAATCAAAAATTGCAAGAACTTCTTTACAAAATAAAAAATGGCAAGAACTTTCTTTACAAAACAAAAAATGGCAAGAATTTCCTTTACAAATCAAAAATTGCAAGAACTTTCTTTACAAATCAAAAATTGCAAGAACTTCTTTACAAAATAAAAAATGGCAAGAACTTTCTTTACAAAACAAAAAATAGCAAGAACTTTCTTTACAAAACAAAAAATGGCAAGACCTTTCTTTACAAAGCGAAAAATTTAAAAAATTTGTTTCCGGAATTCAAATCAAAACAAAAATGAAAAAATAGCCTAAGGCATTGTTTACCACAAGAAAAGTTAAAAGTACCGGTGAAAACAAAGCCGCAAGTCGGCCCTTCTTAACCATGTTATGGCCCCATAAAACGCCATCAAACAGACGAAAAAAGCCATAAAACTTGAAGATGTCCTCTACTTATTGTCTTTTCCCGGAAAATCTTCAAAACACGCCTCGGGGAGTAATTTCAGAAATTTTTACGCAAAAAACTTATGGGATTAAAGATTAGCGAAAACTTAATTTACAGAATGAAAAAAACATAGCATTAGAAGAACATACCTTACTCTAACCTACCCTGCCCTATTATACCCTGCCCTACCCTACTTTACTCTACCTTACCCTACCCTACCCTACCCTACCCTACCCTACCATACCCCACCCTACCTTACCCCACTCTACCCTACCCTACCATACCCTACCCCTACCTCTACGCTTCCGTTAACCTATCTACAAAAATTTACATTTCTTCCACATAGTATTGAGTTTTTACAATTCAGTCATACCTAACCATACGTTAGCACTTACGTAGTGGCCTAAGCCTTACTCATGCTTTTGTGTTTAGCCTGCTTTAGTCTTAATATTGCCTTTCCTTTGCCATACCTACCCTACTAATAAGTGCCGACATAAAGAACCCGCCATTTTTTACAGGAAATTACAGGAACGTATGGCGGGTTCTTTATGTCGGCACCTAATATACTCTACTCTACTCCTACCTTCATTCCTACCCCTACCAAAAAAACTTTACATTTCGTCCACATAGTATTGATTTTTCTCTCAGATTTACCCAATCTTTAATTTTTCTGCCCTGCTTTGCAATATTGTATCAGACCCTGCCCTAGCCCATTTTACCCTACCCATAAACCCTTAAAACCTCATTTTAAAACATTGAATCCCCCTTCCCTTCTTGGCCAAACATATAAACATGGATAGACAAACATAGCCATGTTCGAAACTTGGCAAAACTTGAAGACAAATTTGTTCAAAACGAAAAAATGCCCTCAGGGAATCGAACGTGAAATTGAAAGCAACATTGAATTAAGAGGCCTCTGATTATATTATAGTGTTGTAAAGTACCATAATAACTGGCATTACGGAGTTTTTGAACTGTTTTAGGTAATAAAAGCGTGGTTTTCGAAATTTGTAATTGTACAGTGCCGAAAATGAACTTTTTTAAATTAAAAACCAGTTTTTTTGTAAATTTCGTTTTGAATTTTAAAAATCATGAGAAATGACAAAGGCTTTATTTACAAAACATAAAATAGCAAGAACTTTCTTTACAAATCAAAGATGGCAAAAACTTTCTTTACAAAACATAAAATGGCAAGAACTTTCTTTACAAAGCAACACATGGCAAGATCTTTTTTTACAAAGCAAAAAATAGCAACAGCCTCTTACAAATCAACCCCTGCTTTTATGTAAAAATCGACCCTTTCCCTTAAAAACCTGCCCTACTCTAAAAAATCGACCCCACCCATAAACACAATGATTAACTTGCAAAAACTTGCCTTATCCACAAGAAATCTTAAAAAATCAATACTACGTGGACGAAATGCAAATTTCGTTATTGAAGCCAAGGGTAGGGCAAGGACAGGGCAAAGCCAAATAAGCTACTACATAAGATAATGCAAGGTATAGTACAGTAGGGTAAGGGGTAGAGTGGGGTGGGGTAGGGTGGGGTAGGGCGGGGTAGGGTAGTGTATGGTAGGGTAGGGTAAGGTAGGGTAGGGTAGTGTAATGTAGGGTAGAGAAGATTAAGGTCTCCAGTCAAAAACCGAAAGATCGTGCCATAAACAAACAGAGACTGTTTGTGGGTGTCAAATGTTTTCGGCTGACTGAAAGTGTGACAATTTATTTATTTATGCCAAAGTGAACTCTCGAGTTTGGAAGAAAAAGCAAAGTTTGCAGAGATTTGGGAAACAAAAGATTAACAATGACATATAAACAACACGGAATCACTAATTTATCAAGTTTCGAAAAATTTAAATCTAAAAAAGAGTTCTGGTTTTGACCTGTAAACAAAATTTTTGTTACTATTTTAAGATTTTAAAGAAAGTTCTTGTCATTTTTTAATTTGTAAAGAAAGTTCTTGCCATTTTCTGTTTTTTAAAGAAAGTTCTTGCCATTTTTTGATTTGTAAAGAAAGTTCTTGCCATTTTTTGTTTTGTAAAGAAAGTTCTTGCCATTTTTTGCAAAAAAATACAAATTACCTTGCCTTTCTATATTCTACCACCCCTACATTAACTTATCCAACTCTGCTCTGTCAGTGTCCTACAATTTACCTAAAAAAATTGCATTTTGTCCACGTAGTATTGATTTTTTTTTCAATTTTTGCTCTTTTACCCTACTTTCAGTCCTATCTTATAAAACTTGTCTTGCCTTAACGAGTACCATGCTCTAGAAAATTATAAGTATTTTACATAGTTTAAAAAATTCTTGTCATTTTATGTTTTGTAAAGAAAGTTCCTGCCATTTTTCGTTTTGTAAAGAAAGTTCTTGCCATTTCTTGGCTTGTAAAGAAAGTTTTTGTCAATTTTTATAAATAATTTTAAAAACTACCCTACTTTATTCTACCTTACCCTATTTTAAGATAGCTTATCCTGCTCATACCAAAAAATCAATTTACCAATAAAAGTCCTACCCCACCTTAACCTACCCATTTTTTAAAATAATTTCGAAAAATATTTTTTGAAAATTGAAAAAAAATGCCAAAACGAGACCCAAAGATCGCTAAAACGTGGCGGAATTGAGTGAAAAACTTGCGTATGTAGGAGTTTGTAAATTGGTTATTCAAACAAAATAATTGGCCAATTACCATAAAAATAAAGCCTTCAAGCATATGTTAAAAGTAAAACTTGAAAAAAATATTACACGTCAAAGTAAAAAAAAACTTATTTTAGTTCAATTTAAGCCTAAAAAGCTGATGTCGGCTTATTTTAGGCCAGCTTTAAGCCTCTTTTAAGCACATTTTTTGTTTTGTAAAGAAAGTTCTTGCTAATTTTTGTTTTGCAACGAAATTTCTGGCCATTTATTGTTTTGTAAAGAAAGTTCTTGCCTTGTTTTAAGCCAAAAGTATCCAGAATCGCAACAGTAGTACCAAATCCCCCTTTTCTCACCCATTTTTACATCTTAAAACAGTAAAAATTGAAAATTGCCGCAAGGTCAAAAAAGCGAAAATGCCAGCTCAATTATGCAAAATGATTCCCAAAAACAAACAACATTTAACTCGATTTAGGGATTTCTACAATTAAATAAAGTTTTAAGCGTTTTTTAGTTTTTACCCTGCCCTAACTTGTCCTATTTTATCTTACCCTGCCACACCCTACGTTACCCTACCCTACTTTATCCTACCCTACCCTAACTTACTCTACTCTACCCTACCATAGCCAATCCTGCTCTGCCCTGGACTTGCCTTGCTCTTAACCTTGAAAAATATTTGCATTCCGTCCACATAGTTTTTTTTACCTAAAAAAATTGCAAGTATTGATTTTTCAATTTTAACTTGTCTTACCCTACCTTCAGCTTTACCCATTGATAAAATTTGTCTTGTCCTAACAACTGCCATTCCCTAGAACTTTCCGTACACATTTTTGAAATTTTTGCTTTGTAAAGAAAGTTCTTGCCATTTTTGCTTTGTAAAGAAAGTTCTTGCCATTTTTTGTTTTATAAAGAAAGTTCTTGCCATTTTTCTATTGTAAAGAAAGTTCTCACCCTCCATACCCCAAAAAATCCCTCTACTACATATGCCAAACCAAAACAACAAAAATCCATGAACAATTAGTTGGGAGGGGGAGAGGGTGGGGGCATGCCAAACATTACATGTATGTACATACAATGCCAGCGGCGTCACGACCCAAACCCGAATCCACTCATTAAGTTAACACTCAATTTCATTTCAAAAAACGTGCCGCTGGAAAATTAAAGGCAATAGGGCAAAAGTTTCGAAATTTTAAAGTTTCAATAAATAGGTAAAAAAAAAAAACAAAGCATAGTACACAATTTTTGTGCTTAGCACGCATTTCTAGGCTTCTGATGCAATTTTAAGCTCAGCACACATTTTTAGGCTTAACTGTGCCGATTTTTTCGACCACCGCCCCCTAAACCAAAAGAAGGGTTTACGCAACTTAAGGCTTAGCACACATATTTAGTCTTATCACACATTTTTGGGCTTGGCACACAATTTTAGGCTTAGCTGAGAAAATTTTGGCTTATCTCAAATTTTAAGCTTAGTACATAACTTCAGGCTTAGCACACATTTTTAGGCTTAGTTGCGCAATTTTTGTGCTTAGCACACAGTTTTAGGCTTACTACGTCATTTTAAGCTTAGCAAACATTTTTAGGCTTATTTGCCAATATTTGGCCCTAGACTGTCCCTAAGCCCTAACCTAAAGCCTAGCCTAAAGCCTACCCTAAACCCTAGTCAAAGACTTAGCCTAAGCCCTAGCCTAAGACCTAGCCTAAGCCCTAGCCTAAGACCTAGCCTAAGCTCTAGCATAAGCCTCGGCCCTAGCTTAAACCATAGCCTAAGCCATAGCCTAAGCCCTAGTCAAAGCCTTAGCCTAAGCCCTAGCCTAGGCCATAACCTAAGCCCTACTCGGTCCTACTTTACCTAACAAACCTTCCTTGTTCGGCCCCGCCGTACCATACACTACCCCAAAAAAATAAAAAAAAATCATTACCCTAACATAACCGTATCGCTCCCCCTCCCCCCTTTTTTATTAACTACAATTCAATAACAATCCAGAATTTTCAAACCCAAAACCCACGTTCTAAACGACTATTACTAGGCGAATTGCCATTCCGAACCCATGAATACTCGATAAGAAAACAAGAAATAATAGACGGAAGGTAATTAGAATGGCTCCAATAGAATATATAGTAAACAATGGCATCAGAGACGAATTCCAAGTGCAAAGCGGATTAGCAAAAAGTCGCGGCCGAGGTAGTTTTTTTATTTTATACGTTTCTAATTGGCATGGGAAATTTATTTTTTCGAAAATTATTGAACAAAGAAATCTTTTGCGTAAAATGTCTCAATGTTTTTGAAGGATTAAGAAGTTTTGACACAAAATGAAATGTACAAAGAAATTTTAAGAAAGTAAAAAAAAAACCGCTTAAAAAGGTATTATAAAAATGTTTAGAGTAAAGTAGAGAAGGGTAAGATAGGGTAAAGTAGGGTATGAAAAGGTACGGTATGGAAAACAGGAGTAGAGAAATGTACGTGATAGAAGAATAGAACAGTTAGTTAAGATCAGACAAATGCTTCAGACAAATCAATACTATGTAGACGAAATGTAAACCTCATCTTTGCTGAGGGTGGAGATAAAGACAAGACAAGGAGTATAAATACTTGTAACAGAACTTTTGGCGCACCCTGTATAACAAAGCAAGGGCTATTCAAGAATTGGGTTAGGCCTGGCTCTGCTTTTAACCAATCTAAACTACCTACCCTACATTCAGGGACGTCGTTTGGGGGGGGGGGTAATTCGGGGTGACTCCCCCCAGAGCCAATCAGAAAAAAAAATCCACAGGTAAGTACGTGAAAAAACGAAAAAAAAAATTTTTGGGTCTCCACCTCCCCCCCCCCCCAGAGAAAAACCGTAGCGACGTCCCTGTCTACATTGCCTTGCTTTACCCAACCCTATCACAGTACGTATTACACTCCCTTAACATGCCCAACTCTGCACTACCATTATCCTAAACTTCCTGCCAGCCCTTTCCACACAATCATACAGTACCTAAAAATTCACGGCCCTGCCCTATATTATACTTCCATATTATGCCCAACCTTATGCCGCCACTGCCCTATACACTAGTCAGAAGTTTTGTTTTCTGTCCCAAAACCTCTCAAAAAAATTTTTCAATGTAAGAAATGCCTCGCACAAAAACGGAGTAAAATCCCAGCACTCGCAGACATTTGTTGGGTCGTTTTACATCGAGGCAAATATTATATAAAACAGTAATATTGCATAAGAAAAAGTTGCGTAACACCGTTTCTTCCAATTTCTCTAAGGCTATCTTAATATTATATCATAACATTAGGTAATACCGCACACATTTTTCACTATTTTATAACCATTTTTCTTTTCTTTTGCTCACAACATGTCATATATTAAGGTACCTTACTGAGTTATATTATATTAAAAGATATTATGTTGAGCCAAAAGTAGCGGGACAGTTTTCATTCATTTTACAACTTTAAAGTGTCCCACTACTTTTGGTTCAACTTAATATCTTTTAAGATTAAAAACCAACGTTACCATGAACTAGTAGTGAGAGTTGACAAGCAGCTTTTAGACAATGCCGTAAAAACTTTTCTAACATTCTTTGTTACCTTACGGAAGAAAATATATTCCCGTATTTTACTTTCAAATTTTGAAAATAATCACACATTTTTAGGCTTATTTAAACAATTTAATATTATTTATTTATTAGTATACCCGTATGTACAAAAATGATAATCTCCGTATTTTACAACTCAAAGCAGTCAACAACTCATAGTGCCATTCAAGAACTCATAGTACCATTCAGGAACTCATAGAACCACTCAAAACCCAAGCAGTACCACTCTACTGAGCCTTGGCCAACTTTCTCCTCGCGAAACCTCTGACAGTCAGCGACAAGTTGTCCCAGTACAAGTCGAAAGCGAACTCAGGCATCAGTTTGAACAGACCATAAGCCTGAAGTTCGTGAGCTTGATACCCAGTCGTTTCACCAATATGACCAATCGAGTCGACCGCTTGCTTGGCATAGTCATTTGCGCTAGGACAGAAGTAGGTAGGCTTTCGGACCTTGCTCATGTTGGTCGATACCATCATGGGCGATACGCATTGTACGGTAATACCGTACTTGGCGTACTCTTTGCGCAGGATTGTTGTCAGTTGTACTACGTATCTCTGAAAGAAGGCTAGGGTAATTTGATTTGTTTTTAGGGAGTGTTTTAGCTATTTCTTGCGTAACAATGAGAAAATGACGTTTATTAGTTAAAAAGTAGCTATTTTTGCCCAACTGGCCGCTAGAATGGCCCTCCAACCATATTGTAGTACACTCAAACCAAAATCAAACCCACAACAATCATATCAAAGCCAAATCTCACCTTAGAAGCCGAGTACACACCCCAGTAGGCAGCATTAGCATAGCAGATCGACGAGCTCAAGTTGACCACAACTCCCGATCGTCTGGCTTTCATCTGCTTCAAGATACGATGACAGAGCATAGTAACTGGCAGAGTGTTCACATTCAGCACGTCTCTGTGTCTCTCAGCGTCACCGTGCATTTCCGTGAATTCGTCGGGGAAGTGATGTGACAAGCCAACGTTATTCACCAGCACTCCGATCGGTAGGCCTTGGATTGGGCCGAACAAGTTGGCTTCATAGTCGGCCAAGGAGGTGGCGGTGAAGTCGAAAGAGACAGTCTTGACCTCGGCTCCAGTTTCGGTTTGGATTTCGTCGGCGACAGCAGCTAGCTTTTGTGGGTTTCTGGCTACAAGAATGGTTTTGAAGCCACGTCTCGCTAGTTCGAGGGCGTAGCCTTTGCCAATTCCGTCGGTTGAGCCGGTGACGAGAGCCCATTCAGCTCCGGCCATCTTTTTCAGATTCTTCGGAACGGCTAGACTGTAGACGTAGAAGACGGAGTAAAGGAAGTTGAGTAGTTTGAGTAGGAGGACGGCTAGAGCACCATAACCAAAGGCTACTAGGATGAATGGAGTAGTCATGTTGTAAGTGAGATTATAGTCTAGAGTACAGTAGAGTACTAGAGAAAAGCAGTTAAGCTACTTTTGGCTTTTTGAAGTTGATATGAATAAAAGTAGGTATATTAAGGTAGATAAGTACTATACACTCAATCACAGGCCTAGTAGTACCACAAAAATCAACTGCAATCCACGAAATTAGTATAGTACTGTCTTCGTAATAGCAAAATCAATATTTACAAGCCTCAGATCATATTTTTTTATATTGTCGTAAATATAGCTATACCTTCTTAACAGATAGTTAATCACAAGCAACAGAAAACGATTGTTTGATGAAAATTCCGACAAACGTTGCCCTTAAATACAACCTCAACAGTTCCTCAACACATTCCTTATCAGTTGGAACGTCGAAAAACGCCCTACGCACCAAAAAACCTCGCTCTATGGGCTGATTGACAACATCGAATCAAACGGACTTTTGGTACGACAAACAATTAAAAGACTATTTTTGGAATAAAATTGCAGAAACCGTTTTATTGATTGCTTTTTTGCAGAAATTAGTTTTATTATTGTGGGCATGGCAAAATGGCATAGGAAAGCAAATAATAATCTTAAGAAAGCTTTTTGAGATACTATTGGGGGATGATGACGCCATTCTTTTGTGATGTTTTTATAGTTTCTAACAGTGCCTCGTAGTTTTTAACCTATAAGCAAAAAAACGTAGAGGAAAGTTTCAATTTTAATCAGAAAAATCAATAATATGTGGACGAAATGCAAATTTTTTTTCTAGCTACAAGATTAAGAGTAGGGGTATGGGTAGTAGTGGGATAGGTGGTCTAGAAGTAGGAGCAAGATTAAAAGTAAAGGTAGGAGTAAAGGTATGCGTATGAATAGAAGTAGGGTTAAAGGTAGGGGAAAGAGTAGGGCCAACCCTATCTCTACCCCACTCTACACCAACTCCTACCCTACCTATCCCTACCGTACTCTACCCTACCCCTGCCCCCTACCCTACTCTACCCTACCCTAACCCAACACCTACCCTACCTTACCTTACCCTACCGTACTCTGCCCTACCCTACATTACCGTGCCCTATTGAAAATTTTTGTTCATTTTTAATATTTAAGCCTAAATACTTAAACTAGTACAATATTACGAATTTAATACAAAACATTGTTGTTTCAACAGCGTGATATCAAAAATAATCGCGTGTTTTGCATTAAAAACACTCTCATCGGCTTAAATTCTGCAAAACTCAAAGAACTTCAACTTTTTTTGATTAGAAAGTAAAACTAATGATAAGTATGATAGTTTACGACAAGTTTAGTCCATATAAAAAAATCAAAAAAAAATGATAATAATTTTAAAAACTTCAGTAAAATATCCTTTGTTACCCAAGTGGTATGACAAGTAGTAGTGATAACGCCATTTCAATGTGATTTTCATTAATTTCTTAGTTGTTGAGAATGATTTTTAGAGCGAAATTTTTTTGAGAAAGTTGTTCTAAGGACGGGTCCGGCAAAACACTGCTAACCGCCCCCCAAAAATTTGATTTTTATTTATTTTTTTTAATTTTAAATATTTTTTACATTTCTGCTCTACACTACCTTACCCCTACACTACCCTATTCAACTTTAAAAATTTACGTTTCGTCCACATAATAATGATTTTTTGAAAATTTTCTGTACCTTACCCTACTCCCCCTCCAAATAGTTGGAGAGTTTTAAATTTGTATTTTATACGAAGACTTCGTTACAGAGCAATTTGTTATACAGAACTGTAAAAACTGTTTACCAACGGCCTTATTTTTGAGTCGAAACAAATAAATTGTAAACTAATTTCTTAACAATTTGTTTTACAGCTTGATAAGTTTCTTGAAATTTCTAGAAAACACAAAAAAGTTAATAAAAACGTCATTTTTTCTTTTTAAAAGTGCATTTTAAGTTTTTCAGGTGTCTGCCAGTGTTGTTTATTACTAAATTACAAATTTTTAACGTCATTACTTTTTAAAATTTATATGTTTTTACTTTAATTTTTTATTTTTTATGCAATTTTTTTTATTTTTCTTTGATATACACAAAGAAGTTTTGTTTTAGCTAGCCCTATCCGGACCCTACCTTGTCTTTATGATTGATTTACCCTATTACTATCGTACTCTTAGTATGTCTACTATAACCAATTATTGATAATATCAAATATTATTGTGGTAATAGTACACTTTTTTCCCACTGACATGATCTAAGACATTGTCTGTTATCAACTAATATGATTCAAAAAACAAAACTGTTATTGTCATAAAACTATTTCCTTGTTTCATATTGTCTACCTGATAACAGAGGTGTCCGAGCTTAACAATGTCTAAATAATTAAACAAACAAGAAGAAAAAAGTTTAGATTATGACCAGGGCCGGGCGCGAGGGGGGGACGGGGTACCCCCCCCCCCCCCCAGAAAAAAAAGTTTTGAAAAAAGTTGAACGTGGTCCCCCTGTGGATTTTCGAAAAAAAAATTTTGCAAAAAATCGGCACAGGTAGCCTGTGTCGATTTTTTGGACCCCTGCCCCCAGACCAAAAGTCCCCGCCCGGCCCTGGTCATAAGCCTTAAAAATAAGAAGAAACAAGCCTAAAAGCTAAAGAAGTAAATAAACAAGCCGAAAAACTTAAATGTCTAAGCCTACAGCAATCGACAAACCTAAATTTTTTTTAAATAAGGTGAGACAAACCTAAAAACTAAAAACTGGAAGAAACAAGCCTAAAACCTCAAATTTCTAAGCCTACACTCTTCGAAAACAAAAAAAAATTACCAAGCCTAAAAAACCAATAATGACTAACCCTATCAATAACCTCTTCAACTTCCTGATCATAAACCAATCCAATTCGTGACAGCCCAAACCCAACTCTTCCTGGTTTTATTACTGACAGTTCATGTTTTATGACCAAAAACGGCCAATTGGCTAATTTTAGAAGCCCAGTTTCAATCTCTCGATTATCGACAAGGAAGTTCAAGATTCGAATTGACAGGTTTCTGAACAAGAAGATAATAGATACAGTGAAATTTTATGATTCTTTGGTTGATAATAGTGGGGAACAAAGGCTCATTGAGGGTAAAAATAACATTTTATGTTCGAAAAGTGTATTGACAGGTTCTTAATTTAGAAGTTTATTTTAGAAATTGATCTTCAAGATCAAAAAAGAATGCCTTACTTCCCTCACACTGCCCTACTACTCTACCTTACCCTGCCTCGATATGCCTTGCTTTTCCCTTGCCATGTCTTGCCATGCCAAAGTCTTGCTCTTGACTTGACTTGTCCTGGCCTGCCGTGCCATGACTTACATTGTCTTGCATTGCCGTTGCCTTATCATGCCTTTTACTTGCCCTGCCATGCCCTGGCCTAGCGTGCCGTGACTTGCATTTTCTTGACTTGCCTTGCCCTGGCCTGCCGTGCCATGACTTGCTTTGCATTGCCCTTCATTATCCTACCCTACCCTTTCCACTTCCTACTTTTGGCATGCCTTACTGTACCTCATTCTACTCTACTTTTACCATGCCTTAAATTTTACAACAAAAATTTTTTTAAACGAAGAAATACCTCAAAGAAAAACGGAGTAAAATCCCAGCACTCGCAGTCATTTGTTAAGTCGTTTTACATCGAGGCAAATGTTATATAAATAACCAATATTGCATAAGAAAAAGTTGCGTAACACAGTGTCTTACAATTTCTCTGAGGCTACCTTATTATAGCATGAATATTAGGTAATTTTACGACCTTTCTTTTCATTTTTAAGAAGTAAAGCTCTATCCTGCCCTACCCTGCATTACCTTGCCCTACCCTACCATAACCTATCCTAATTTAAACTACCCTGTCATAACTCTACTCTTTCCTACTCTATCCTACGCTACCGTGTGTTAAAATATCCCTCTTTAACCTACCATACCGTACTCTACCTTGCCCTACGCTACAGAAAAATTTTTATAATTTACCCCACCCTCCTTTACCTTACTCTGTCATAAAATACAAACCACATTACATCCTTAAAAGTTCATCTAATCACAGAACAGATTATTGACACCTACTACAGAAAGACATAATAGTTGATCTAATATAGTACAAGAATAAAACACAAAATGGTCAACAATAATATGGTCCAGATGACCTGACCTCAAGAATTCTCTTTTCTGATTCATATAGTACTCAAGTTCACAAATTAATTTCGATAGCAAAATATTGACAACAAAGTGCAGATGAGGCTGGAGAACATTCCTTTCCTCGTCGACAAGGAACAACATTGTCTAAGCGCCTTAGGCTTATCACTGCAAACGTGCTATATAAGCAGGTGTGAAATTTTACAAACATTGGGTTTTGTGTGGAAATCATCTCGTGCTAAAAAGTACTATCCTCGTACTGTACTAAAACTAATTTTTTCAAACCACAGAGTACTAGAGCATCTTTTACTACCTAAAGTGCAACATACTACTTTGTAATATTCACAGTACAACATACTATCCTGTACTACTTACAGTACAATATACTATATTAAACAACTTTCTAAAAGCCAGATATTCACCAAGAAATCCAGATGATGGTAGCCATCCAATCATCTGTTCATGACTTTCACCTCTTCGAACAGCTAATAACAGCCTTTGGCTACGGTGCCCTAGCTGTCCTACTCTACAAACTAATCAACCTTTTCTACACCGTAATCTACGTACACAGCATAGCCGACCCTCTGGACCTAAAAAGAATGGCCGGAGCCAAATGGGCTCTCGTCACCGGCTCAACCGACGGAATTGGCAAAGGCTACGCCCTCGAACTAGCGAGACGTGGCTTCAAAACCATTCTTGTAGCCAGAAACCCACAAAAGCTAGCTGCTGTCGCCGACGAAATCCGAACCGAAACTGGAGCCGAGGTCAAGACTGTCTCTTTCGACTTCACCGCCACCTCCTTGGCCGACTATGAAGCCAACTTGTTCGGCCCAATCCAAGGCCTACCGATCGGAGTGCTGGTGAATAACGTTGGCTTGTCACATCACTTCCCCGACGAATTCACGGAAATGCACGGTGACGCTGAGAGACACAGAGACGTGCTGAATGTGAACACTCTGCCAGTTACTATGCTCTGTCATCGTATCTTGAAGCAGATGAAAGCCAGACGATCGGGAGTTGTGGTCAACTTGAGCTCGTCGATCTGCTATGCTAATGCTGCCTACTGGGGTGTGTACTCGGCTTCTAAGGTGAGATTCGGCTTTGATATGATTGTTATGGGTTTGACTTTGTTAATTTAAAAAAAAACACCCCCTAAAAGCAAACCAAATTATCCCTGCCTTTTTTCAGAGATACGTAGTACAACTAACCACAATCCTGCGCAAAGAGTACGCCAAGTACGGTGTTACCGTACAATGCGTGTCGCCCATGATGGTATCGACCAAGATGAGCCGAGTCAGAAAACCATCATTGTTTGTACCAAGTGTCGACGCCTACACCAAACAAGCGGTCGACTCAATTGGTCATATCAACGAAACTACTGGATATCAAGCTCATGAGCTTCAGAATTACTTCTTCTTCCGCTTCATGCCAGAGTTTTTCTTTGATTTGTACTGGGATAATGTTTCGACTAGCGTTAGGGATATGGCTATTGCGAAGAAGTTGTCTATTCAATAGATGATTTTTATTGTTTTACGGGTATTTGAGGATGTATTTTACTGTAATTTTGATGTTTCTTGGTTGTTTTATATTGTAAAAGCTGATTATTTTTTATTTTTGTATTATGCGAGTATCAACAGACTTATTACGGGTAGTTATAATAAACTATTACAAAGTTGCTTGATTTTTATTCAATTTGAAAACTTACTATAACATTAGGCAACTTAAACCAAGCTTAAATTACTGTAAAATTTCCGTAAATACCTTCAAATAACATACAAGTTACTATAACCTAATAGCCATTTGCCAAAACAATTTTCTTTTTCAATCTTAACATCCAGGTCTATGTTAATATAACTTTGATAGCTTGGAAAAAAAATTTCAAAAGCGCAAATCAAATAAAATTTTAACATAACATTGTATATTCTAATTTCCATCTTTGGTAAAAATTTTATGATCATCTGAGGTATAGTTCATCCAAAATGACAATTTTACTTCTAGCACGCAGAAAAATAATGTAATTGCTTATAAAACCTAAAACTTTTGCAGCCTAAACTACTTTAAAATGCCGTTAGCAAGCTCTTTGTGCCATTCCTATGCTAAACCACAATATTATGTTACCTAAACTTATAATTTTCCAAAAAATTTAGGTAAAATTATATTATCCATCCCCACAAAGCCTCTGTTTGTATAAGAACGTATAATATAACATAATTACTCTCACATAACCTTTAAACCGCTTTCACTCTTCCCATTGTCTCCCTAATATGTTACATGTTCATGATCGGAAAGTGGATAATTGCCGCGATTTCATCTCATTTTCCACAAAAATCTTTGTTATTACGCGTTTCACACGTCTTTATTCTCGACTTCCTCGTGTTAAACCTCTTGCATAAGCCTAGTCACGAGTTCCTTGTCGCAAAGAATTACCCTATCTTGGACAGAATGATAACAACATGCTAAATTATTCAAACAACCCGACGACAAGCCGTTGCAAAAGGTAAGCCCCGGATTATGTTGTGATAAGAGAATTTTGTAGATTTAGCAGAATATAAAGGTTTATATAGCGCGTGATTTGATAAAAGCTGGTCGATTTTGGACTCTTTAGAATGATAAAACTATAAGCTATCTAAATCTTATAAGTATAAACATCTTGTTGACCTTTTTGTCCAAAAATTTCAGCTTATATTATAGTAGACACCTACTACAACATATTTTGATCCATTGCCTCGCATTTTTGCCAATTTATCTCAAATGCGTTGTAAAATAACAAAGATTACGTTAATTTTTAGCTATCCAAACCATTTTTTAACTAAAATACCCATTACTTCCAATAGAATTAGCCAATTTCAAAAGATATACCACCAAATAGCTAAAATGTTTTTTGCTCAACAAACTGCCAAAAAACCTTATAACTTATAATAATTTTATAAAATACATAATGGCTAACCCTTCTTAAAGCTTATATTATCCATCGTCATCCAGTTGTTACCTAAAAACCAAAGAAAAACAATAAAAGACTTATTCATTCTATGATAATATCCAGATTGGTCGAAGTTGATCTGTTTGTCTGTTGGAAACTGTCTGGGGTCATCTTGACAATTATCTTGCACGATTCTAACCTTGAAATAGCAAAATTTTCCTTTTTTGGCCAATTTTTCATTAATTAATGACGTTACGCAAAGCTCAGTTTTTCGTGTTGGGACCAAGTTGATGTGACTATGTTATTTTGTTTAGGCATTCGACTTGTTTTAAAATGGCTAAACTGAACTTTTATGTCATATATAGGTCCTAAATAGTCCAAATAATTTTCAGCCAATCAAATCTGACCACATCCACCTCATTACCAACGTTAAGTTCACCACCATCAAGTTCGAGCAGTTTGTCTCGTGAACAACTTACTATAATATGTTATGAAACACGTTTGTTTGCTATTTTCTGTGTTTTTATTGCAACTATATGTGCCATAAGTACGGTGTTGTTGGTGCCTTTAGTCTATTCACATATGGTTCATGTTGAGGATGTTGTTGAAGAGGATCTGATCTTCTGCCAGCATAGAGTTAGATACGTCAAGGACAGGCTTTATGAGGTTTGTGTGGATTTTTAATTTGTTTTTAGTTTTTTATGTCATTTTAAATTATTTAAAAAAAAATTTTTTTTGATTTTTTAAAAATTTATGGGTACCGTCAGGAAAAGTGCCATTTTAGATGAACTTGACCTCAGATTGGCATAAAATTTATACTAAAGATGGCATTTATAATAGAGAATGTTATGTTAAAACGTAATTTGGCTTACTTCTTTGGAAAATTTGTTACAAGCCATCAAAGTTATATTAACATAGACCTTTTGACCTTAACATTGAAAATAACCTAATATTATAGTTGACAGACGGCTTCATACCGCGCAGAAAACGTGCCAGTGTGTTTGACGAAGTTTCTGTGAAAAGATTGGCTAAAAAGCGGAGACGACTGAAGAAGAAACAAATAAAGCATCTGGAAGATGACTATGTTGAGGATGATGATTATGATATTGAGGATGGGTACAGAGAAAAGGGTAAGAAACTGGTTTTATATGCTTCAAAATGGCAAGAACTTTCTTTATAAAACAAAAAATGGCAAGAACTTTCTTTACAAAACACAAAATGGCAAGAACTTTCTTTACAAAACAAAAAATGGCAAGAACTTTCTTTACAAAACAAAAAATGGCAAAAACTTTCTTTCCAAGCCCAACTATAAGCTTAGTTTCTTTCAGATTACATAGAAGAGCCAATCAAAGTAGCACCATCTGGATATCGTTCTCCATTCACCTTTGGTACAGAATCTCGAAAGGATGTACTAGACGACGGTGGTACTGCTGGGAAGCCGGTACCAGTCCAATCAGGCTCTAAGTACAATGAGAGGTACAGTAGCTCCAAATCGTCATATAGTGCCCCAAAAGGATCAGCAGTACCATACGCATCACCCAAAGTACCATCAGTACCATACGCCCAAGCTAGACCATCTTATGTAGCACCACCTGCTTCAGCACCACCAAGCTATCACGAGCCGGACCAGTGCTGTAGTTGTGGAATGGGACCGGCAGGACCAGCTGGCCCAAGTGGACCAGATGGTGCTAATGGTCGCGACGGAAAGCCAGGCCATAATGGTCCTAATGGTCAAGACGCCGAAGCCGATCAGGTACCAACTGTGGACGATTTCTGTTTCGAATGTCCCAGAGGACCAGCGGGACCACGTGGACTACCTGGCTCAAAAGGCTTGACCGGTGAACCAGGTGCACCAGGCCGGCACGGTGATTCCCCACAACGTGGCGTACCAGGTCGTGCCGGACCTCGCGGACAACGTGGTACACCAGGCAAGCCAGGACTAAAAGGACCAACTGGACGACCAGGTATTCTACAAACAGTCGAAGGCCCTACGGGTGAACCAGGTGCACCAGGCGAAGATGGTTCACCCGGTCCACCTGGGATGCCAGGAGAGTCGGGACATGCTCAGCCTGGACCACCTGGACCGGTCGGTGATCCTGGACTACCTGGTGAGGATGGGCAGGTTGGTGAAGTTGGTGCACCTGGCAAGAGGGGACCAAGGGGAAAGGCTGGAGATTGTTCACATTGTCCTAGGCCTAGATTGCCTCCGGGGTTTTGAAGTTTGAAAAATTTTAAAATTTCAAAAAATTTTTTTAATTTAAAAAAATTGAAATTGTATGTAAATAAAGGTCAATATTTGATAATTTATTACAGTATCCATAGTACAAAAACTTGAATTTTAAAAAAATTTAAAATTTTCAAAAAATTTTATAAAAAGTTACAGTAATCCGTCAGGCAGTTTATGACGACAAGAGGTGGCAGTAATAGCATCAGTAATGTTGATTACAGTACCTTGAAAGCGGACCTCCATGAAAATTGAATCGGCCGAATCTGAGCAGACCAAACGTCGGCCAACCGGCTGCCCTTGGGCAATGTGCTTGCGACCAAAGCCGAGGTCTTCACGGTAGCGCACATTGAAAATTTTTACGTCGTAATCTGGAATAGTGACAATTTTTAACAGTGTTTTGAAGGGTTTTGGGGTTGTAAAGAAAGTTTTTGCCATTTTTTGTTTTGTAAAGAAAATTTTTGCCATTTTTTGTTTTGTAAAGAAAGTTTTTGCCATTTTTTGTTTTGTAAAGAAAGTTCTTGCCATTTTTTGTTTTGTAAAGAAAGTTCTTACCAGTCCAAGTACCAGTGCCTTGAATGAACAATGCTTCATTACTACAGCCAGAATAGACATTATTCTTGAAGTTTAGCCTCATTCGACCGATGATTTCTCCTTCGATTGGACTGAAAAGTAAATATTAGTGGACTACCGTACCTTGTCCTACCCTACCTTACTCTACCTTACCCTACCCTACTCTACCCTACCCTACCTTACTCTACCCTACCCTACCCTACCCTACCCTACCTTACCCTACCCTACTCTACCTGTAAATAGTTGGAGCCAGTGGAGCGTCTTCATATGAGGCTTCTTCGACTTCTTCCGAGTCTTCCTTTCGTAATGGACAGGCAATTTCCCAACCTCGGATTCCGTTGAAAATACTGAAAACATTACGGTGAACTCCCGATACAACAAATCGCAAAGTTATTGAAAAGTTGTTCGCGGTAGCGGGGTTTTGTTATATCCGGAGTTCTTTAGAAGCAATCCAAATTTTTTTCTAAGAGGTCCAAAAAAATTCGCTGTAACTGCTTTTGGCACAAAACCCCAACGATTTTTGAGGACGTTTTTTGGCCCTTGAAAGCCTTACCTTTTAGACTCAAAGGGTTGTCCAATAATCCGGTTATTGTGATTTGTTTCACATATCTGGCCCGTGCACATACCTTAAAATAAATTGGTTATTAAATAACGTACTACCAAGGGAATTGTACCGAATATACCTCAACTTTTAGAACAAGACGTAGTACAATCTGTGTTACTATGAATTGTCACGTTTAGCGGGATATTAGTAACTAAAGAATCTAAGGTTTTTTTCTAAGGTTTATTAACATATAGTAAGCATAACTCTACTACGTTTAAATTTACAAACCCGAATGTACAAAGCAAAGGCTTATTTTTTAATCTGCGAATCCAGAGTCATTAAGCCTAAGCCTATGAGGCATATGTCTAATAAGTCTAACTAAGCCTAAGACGACTAAACTTAAGCCTACTAAGCCTAAGTTGACTAATTTGAGCAGCCTAATTTTTCAAGCCTACACTTAAACCTAGTAAGTCAAAGCCAAAGGCGTAAGCCTTCTAATACCGAGCCAAAGCGTAAGCTTCGTGAGTCTAAGCCTAAATTTAAGCCTACGTCCACTAGACTAAACTTTAATTTACAAAACCTAAGCTCACTAAGAATTTAACCATAAGCTTGCTAATTCTAAAACTATTTGAGCCTAAGCCTAAAGAATCTAAACTAACTAAACCCAAAAGTATATTTATCAAGATGCAACTTACAATCAGTCAAATGACTGCTGATATCCACCGCCTTTCCATCCCGATACAACTCTACTCTAATGTAATTCTGCGGGTTCTGAGCCTTCTGACTCAATATACATTCATACTGTCCTGCCGTTCCCAACTTCTCTCCAGCCACCACCTCTCCACCGTATCTGAACGGTACTACCGTGTAGATGAGTACATGGTACCCTCGGTACTGGCCAGAACCATCGATTCTGATGCCTTGATCAGCACATTGGAAGTCGGTTTCACCGCCAAACGGTTGGAAGTAGGACAGTTCACCATCGAATGGTGCAAAAATAGCTTCCTCTAGTGGACAGATTATGTCTGAGGCTGGTAGAATGATATGGTCGGCTCTAAAATGTAATAATTTAAAGTTACGGTAGGCTGGAAAGGAAGTTCTTGCCATTTTTTGTTTTGTAAAGAAAGTTCTTGCCATTTTTTGTTTTGTAAAGAAAGTTCTTGCTATTTTTTGTTTTGTAAAGAAAGTTCTTGCTATTTTTGTTTTGTAAAGAAAGTTCTAGTCATTTTTTATTTTGTAAAGAAAGTTCTTGCCATTTTTTGTTTTGTAAAGAAAGTTCTTGCCATTTTTTGTTTTGTAAAGAAAGTTCTTGCTATTTTTTGTTTTGTAAAGAAAGTTCTTGCCATTTTTTATTTTGTAAAGAAAGTTCTTGCCATTTTTTGTTTTGTAAAGAAATTTCTTGCCATTTTTTGCCTTGTAAAGAAAGTTTTTGCACTTGACATATGAACATCGTATTTTACCTACCGAACCTGATTAAACCCTCCACAATCAGTCCCATCCTCTCTACATGGTCGTATGTCACTATTGGGGTTACCACCACAAATGGCTTTCATACAACCCATGCATGTCGCATGCTGTACCAATAAGCCTAGCAAAAGAAATAACCGCATTTTGCGTGAAGACCGTTTTAAAATCACAAAAAAAGTCAAGAACTGATGATAAGATAACATTTGACGTTTGCGAGTAAACATATGGCTAAAGAGCTATTGGAAATGCATTCATATTTTGATAAATGAGGGCGAAGGGCCAAAGTGCTGTTGCAAACATTAAGGCATGGAAGGCGCAAATAGGAAAAAAATATAAAAACAGCCCTACCCCAGCCTTGGCCTGAGCTAAGCCTGAAAGAGAGTCCACTATTTAATAATCTCGACAAGATCCAGCCCGACCGCACGATAGCTGGTTTCTAAAAAACCGCGCTGACACAAAGAGGACCTTGGAGACCAAACTACACTTAGTCGAAAAAGTGGGCCCAGTCCGGCTTCTTCACGCAAACTCTAGAGCCCTAGCTTAAAGTAGACGGGAACGGGCCGGGCTTGAGAAAAATTTTGGTCGGGCCAAGCCAGGAAATCCCGAAAAAGCCCAGCTTGATTCGACGAGCTCGGAAAAGTCTGGCTTCTTTCTACATAAAAAATTCGGGTCGGGCCGAATGGGACAAGCAAAACTTAGATCGGGCCGGCTCTGAAAATTAGCCTAGAAGTAGTCTAGAACAATAGCTTCAAGCTTTGTGCCTTAGCTCTGAGCCCTAGCCCAGAGCTCTAGCCTAGATTCCTAGCTTTGAGCCCAAATTTAAATCCAAGCTTACAGTTTTATCTAATGTAAAGCTCTAGCTCAGAGTCCTAGCTTAGAGGCCGCCGTTTTTCTTGTGCTATCCTGACTTTTATGTTCTGTCTGGCTTTTTTATGTTTTGCCCATTCCTTACGCCTTGTCTTTGCCTTAACTGTGCAACCACTTTATATTTACGTTTCTTACTCTTTTCTAACAATTTTACTACCTCTACCTTGATCTTCCCCTACACTAATCCTGCAGGTACCCTACGGTACCTTGAATTGCCGTAAATGTAAATTTAAAAAATTTGTTTTTAATTCATATCCAATATCCAATATTCTCTCTATAAAAAACTTAAATGAGACGACATTTTGTGTTTACCAGTAGTCTTTACAAAACAATTTTTAATGCAAATTGACTTGGCAAAGCCATATATATTGTTTACTATAACGAGAGTTGCTTGTACAGATGGCCATATATATATATTGTATATATATATATTGAGGCTGAATAAGTACAATTTATTTATAGTTTCAAAAATAAAAAAAACTAATTTGCAAAACAAAAACAGTCCATAACTATAATACACCCTAAGCACGCTATAATTGAATATATTAAATTGTAAATTAAGTGGCTAGAGGTGATTAGTCATTCCTTAATACTTAATAAAGCCGGATTAACCGTGAATCCATATTTAATTGATCTCTAATTGTCATTCTCTTTTTGTTTGTAATCTTCATCTCAAAACGTACTCTGTGTGTTTCGTGTTTTTAAGTATTGGCTGGGGTTTACGTACTTTAATATAAAAAATGATAGCTTAAGGTGAAGTTAAGGGTAAGACTGGAAAAAGTAAAGTATAATAGGATATGTTGAGGTAGGGCAGAGTAGCCTAAGATAAAGTAAGGCAGAGTAAGGTAAACAAAAGTGGATCACAGTAAGGCTAGGCAAAATGAGGTAAGGAAAAGCGGGTATGGAAGGGCAGGGTAGAATGAGAAAAAGTTAAAGATAAGGCCGGATAAACTAAAGCAAGATATGATAAGGTAGGACAGAGGAGGGTAAAGTAGAACAAGGCACAGTCAGGTAAGACAAGGTAAGGAATGACAAGATAGGCTATGCAGACAATATAACGAGGGTAACTCAAAATAGAGACAGGTAAGACAAGATAGGGTCGTACTGTAGGGTAGGGTAGGGTAGGGTAGGGTAATATTTAAAAAGTAACAACTAGCCACTACGTTCCAAGTTATAATTACATACCCTACGTCTGTTCGAGTTTAACCTCTTCTAATTACTGGGTTATAGTAATAGTAAGTTGGCGTTTACAATGTAAACCCAAAGTAACTTTTCTTGTCTTCAAAAATATTTACCTAACAAGCATCTCTCATCTAAATTTACTATTACTTTAATTTTTTAATTTTTTTAAGTTTTATAAAAATGAAACTATACAAAATTTTAAAAAACGTTGGAGTAAACACGGAAGAAATTTACTTTACAGAGATGGCCAAAGACATTATTGTGCCACTAGGACAACGTGTATTGCGTGTTATGGAGGATATTATTGAAGATGATCCTGACAGAGTTATCATGGTACGTTTTTTAATCTTTTTTGAGATATAGACGAAATGTCGCAAATTTATTGCTTTTTTGACGAAATGTCAAAATTGTTTGGAACGAAGAGTCAAAAATCAATTTTATATGCACAAAATTGATTTTTAAATATCGATTTAAGTGATAAGTAAAAATTTTATCGTTTTTTGATTTGTAGACAAAATGTCACAAAATTATTGATTTTTGTAACGAAACGTCAAAAAAAGTATAGGATTTTTTAAGATTTGTTTTAATGCTCTTATTCAACACCGGAACGTATTTTACATTAATTTTATATTTTTTTGATGTTATATAATCTTAAAAAATCGACCTAAAAGTTAAACTTTATTACCTAAAGTAAATGTTTATTATAGATATACGACGAAGTAGAAGTGAACTCAAAAGTGCCATATGATCATGTATATCAATGTACTTTAAGTTTACTCAATTTTTTACAAAGGGAACACTTACTGGGCTATCACAATGTAATTGGCATCTGTTTGGAAAACTGTCACCAATTTATTGTGGCTTTTACTGCAGTAACTTCAGTGAATTCCATTGCGGCGCTGTTTGACCCTGAGGCTTCTTCGAGTAGGTTTTGGGTTGTTTAGGCTTGTCTTAGAAATTTCGTTACAAAACAAATTTTTTTTAAATTTTTTAAATTTTAAAATTTTAAAATTATTTTTAATTTAGACGACCTACTAAACCAAGTAAACAGCTCAAAAGCAGAAACTTTAATTACAACAGCTGAAGTATTTCTGCAATTACTAGAACAAAGTCGCCACTGGACTAGCCTACGCAATGTAATCTTAGTCAATCGGTTTGGCAAGCCAATGGACATCAAAGGCTTCAATGTGTTCACGTGGAGCCAAGTAATCTCACACAAACCTAGTTTTAACAAAGAGTAAGTTACACTGCCCATAGTCAAAGCCCTAGCCCTAGCCCTAGCCCTAGCCCTAGCCCTAGCCCAGAGCCCTAGCCCAGAGCCCTAGCCCAAAGCCCTAGCCCAGAGCCCTAGCCCAGAGCCCTAACCCAGAGACCTAGCTCAGAGCCTTAACCCTAGCGTTAGTTCTAACTCAAAGCTCTAGCACAGGACCTTCTGAAGCCCTAGCCCACAACCGTATCTCTGAGAACGCAGATTTAGCCCGGAGCCATAAACTCTTCTGAATCCACCATCCTTTTACGTTTGCTCTACTCTAACCCTACCAAAAATTCATAGCTCTAGCCTAATTAAAGTTGGTTACTCTAGTCAAAGCGGTTCTAGAGACTCTTTACCTAGCCCAAGCGACCTTACTTTGACTTCCAATACCTTTTAAAGTATAATATACAATCTTTACTTTCAGCAAAGTCACATTTACTGTCAAAACCGACCCAGCTTTATTGATTTATCCAGAAAAGCCACGCCGAAGTCACGACGGTATTCTCATAAGCCATGCAGCTTTGATTACCAAACAGGAAGCTACATTACAGTTTATAAATACTTGTCTACAAGATTGTAAGCCAAAAGATCCTAATATATCTTATGTAAATGGCTTTTCAAATGGTACAGTAAGTGTTGAAGATACTGTAACTTCTGAAAATGACCAAGATTTATCTGTAAACGGCCATGATTCATCAGAAAACGGTTTTGATTCACATGAACATCAACAAATGGTCGATGATTACATAAATGACAAAGAGAATTCAAGTGATGACGAAGCTTACTCCAACCCATCTTATGAAGAATATAACGAAGAAGGTGATGACGACTATACCGTAAATGACAACGAAGATTATGAGGAAATACCTAATACTGAATTCAGTACCAATTGCACCACTATTGTTACAGAAAATAGCACTCAAAGTCCCAATAACGCTCCCAAAACTACTATAATATCAACTCCACCTCATTTAATCGAAGGTGTTATACATGTACTGAACGCTGTCATGTCGAAAGATACGATTTTACTGTGTCAAAACAAAGGTGAAGTTATACTGAATGCGGTTTCGAAATATCGACCGGTATATTTGAGCATTACGATTAATTGCGCTTTGGAGATTACTAAAATGAAGTTGGAGTCAGATGAGGATGAAAAGAATGGTGATGAAGAACATGAAGTAGATGATAAAGAAAAAAATAAAGAAGAAAAGTTAAGAAAAAGAAGAAGAAAAAGAAAGAAAAGGAAGAACAAAATAAAGAAAAAGAAGAACAAAAAGAAGAAAATAAAGAACAAAAACAAAAGAAAGAAGTAGAAATAGAAGCGCAAAAAGCAAAGAATAAAGAAGATAAAATAAAGAAAGAAAATAAAGAAGAACAAAAAAATCAAAAAGAAGAACAAGGAGAACAAAAAGAAGAAAAACAACAACAACAAGCCCAAAAAGCCAAAAAAGAAGAAGAATACGATCTAACAAGTGTAAAAGTACTAGACATATCAAGTCATTGTGTTGGCAGATACGTAGCTCAACAACTGGTCGAAAAGTTCACAGAAGTCGACCATTTTGTTCAAACTGTCAGAATCCCAGAAGTTTTAAATTATAGTTGTCTGAGCAAAGGAAAAGCATTGGTAGGACACTGTGGACAAGCTATGAAAGGCGTTAGGTATAAAGTAAGAAAGTCCTTGCCCTTTTGGTTTGTAAAGAAAGTTCTTGCCATTTGTCGTTTTGTAAAGAAAGTTCTTGCCATTTGTTGTTTTGTAAAGAAAGTTCTTGCCATTTGTTGTTTTGTAAAGAAAGTTCTTGCCATTTGTTGTTTTGTAAAAAAAGTTCCTGCCATTTTTGGGTTTGTAAAGAAAGTTCTTGCCATTTGTTGTTTTGTAAAGAAAGTTCTTGCCATTTTTGGGTTTGTAAAGAAAGTTCTTGCCATTTGTTGTTTTGTAAAGAAAGTTCTTGCCATTTGTTGTTTTGTAAAGAAAGTTCCTGCCATTTTTGGGTTTGTAAAGAAAGTTCTTGCCATTTTTTTGTTTCGTAAAGAAAGTTCTTGCCATTTATTGTTTTTTAATACAATTTTATTTTAGATAATTGATCCAGAAACCGACAAAGAAGTAATAGTAGGTTCAGTTGGAGAGCTGTGGCTAAAATCACCAACATTTTTGACTGAATTTTGGGGCAATCCAGAGGGAAAAGCGAATGTTATTACTCATGATGGGTGGTATTTGACTGGTAAGTATTGTCTTACTACAGGGGTAGGGTAGTATAGAGTAGGGTGAGGTGCAGTAGAATCCTAGGTACAGCACAGCCTAAGGTACGGTACGTCTTTTTGTACGATATGGTCTTAGGTACCGTAGGGCCTACGGTACGGTAGGACTCAGAGTAGAATAAAGTAAGACCTAGGGTACGGTAGGGCGTAAGCTACGATAAAGCTATGGTTACGGTATAACTTAAAAAACGGCAAAGCCTATGGTACGGTAGAGCCTAAAATACGGTAAGACCTAGAGTAAAAAGGACTCAAGGTACTATAGAGCTTAAGGTACACGGTGGGTCTTAAGGTACGGTAGAACCTAGAATAAGGCAAGGCCTAGAATACGGCGAGGCCTACGGTACGGTTGGATATAGAGTACGGTGCGACACAGGGTACGGTAAAGCCTATGGTACGGTAGAGTCTAGGGAACCGTAGAGTTTAGGATACGGTAGGGCCTAGGGTACATTAGGGCCTAGGGTACAGTAGGGCAGGATCTATAAACAAAATTATTGGAAAAATGTAACAAAATGTCACAAAATTTAAATACACTCAGAACGTTCTAAAACAACTTTTGATGTCGTCCAACGTTATTGGAAGGTTATACTAGCGCAAAAGTATATTTATTGGAAAATAAAGTGTCACAAATTTATTGATTTTCTAAAACCCAATTATACGAATTAATTTTAGGAAAACTAGCAACAAAGGACGTTCACAACAACCTTATCTACGTATGTGACGCAAATGAAGTTATCTACGTTCAATCTAGTCCAGTCTACCCAACATTACTAGAAGAAAAGCTACTATCACATCCAAAGGTGCTGGACTGTGCTGTAGTTGGAGTATCTCATAAAAAGCTGGGAAAAGTGCCTCGAGCATTTATTGTAAAACTGGACTTAGAACTGACAGAAGAAGAAGTTTTTGACCATATCAGAGAGAATGGCAGCAGTGAAGAGGAGCTGCTTGGTGGTGTCTACTTTGTCAGTAAAATACCACGGAATGCTAGTGGTGGAGTTGATAAACAGCTGTTGGTCAAGCTTTTTGTACTTAAGAAGTAAAGGTCAATCATATACCCTGCCCTACCTTAGAACCTATTGTACTGTAAGCCATATCGTATTCTAGGCCGTGGTTTATCCTAGGTCATACCTTACCATTTGTCCTACTGTATTCTAGACCCTACCGTACTCTAGGTCTTATCGTACTCTAAGCCCTACCGTACCCTAGGCGCTACCGTACCCTAGGCCCTACCGTACCCTAGGCCATACCGTACCTTAGGCCCTACCGCACCCTAGGCCCTACCGTACCCTAGGCCAACCGTACCCTGGGCCCTACCGTACCTTAGGCCCTACCGTACTCTAGACCCTACCGTACTCTAGGCTTTGTCGTATTTTATGCCCTACAGTACCCTAGTTCTTCACCTTGTTCTTGTACTCTACCACACTCTAGGCTACTACCGTATAGACTCTCAGCGCATTTTATCCCAATTTCTACGGTATTCTAAAACCTATTGTACTTCATTCTATAACTCCTAACCGGGCACCCAGCCGTATATTACATCACTCCTTTTAACCAAATCATCCATCATTTGTTAAAGTAATGTTTATTTGTTGTCTACAACAATATAATATATACAATTCGCAAAGTAAATTACAAAACACTATGTACATGTTATGTTAATGCTCTCTATATGTGTTTGAGTATGCTAATAAATTTATTATATACAATTAAAATCAACTTTTAAAGCAATTTTAGAAACTAAAGGTTATCTACTACAATATACGTACTTATTGGTACTATATAGTACTACATATTAGTACTAGAGTAAAAATCTTACACTACGTTTCATTACTACAGTAAAACGCTGATAGTACTATGACTTACTATACTAAGTACCGTACAACGCCTTATAGTACAAAAGAATACTGTAAACCTTACTGTAGCCAGTACTATCATACTGTAATGAAGTCATATTGTAATACCCTAGTACAGGAACATACTGTAACATATCAAATCTTACTGTATAAATCAGTATATTTATCATTAGTCCTACTGTAGCCCACAAATTACAGTTCCACTACTGAGTTGAATAGTAGTATGCATTACGGTAGTATTACAGTAGTCTTACTGTACCAAAGCCTTCTTCTCCGTCCCAACCGCGTTATGATAGATCAAGTATTGTGCTGCATAGTAAGTGAATAGAATGAACTCATGGTTGTGTGCAAAGTTGTACTGTAGTTTGTTCAACAGGATTACGGTGTCTGATACGAAGAAAAGACAGTAACCCACAATTAAAGCTTGGTATTCCTGAAAATTGAAAAATTAGTTGGAAATGGCAAGAACTTTCTTTACAAAACAAAAAATGGCAAGAACTTTCTTTACAACCTCAAAAACTCACAGTCCCAAACCGGCTGTCATGAGATCCATGATGAAACAGAGATCCAGCCACAATAACTGCAGCACTTATGACAAAGCTGTAAGCAATAATCAAGATCATTTGCAATGGAATGTGCCAGAGGTACGGTATAACCAGGAAGTGATTCACCACGAAGGCATACAACATACAAAAGGCTGCCACTGGAGCACTAAACTTGGCTAGACGAGATCCGAAGTAAGCCTAAAATATAAGTTTTTTGTTATGAAAAAACGTACGGTAAGAATTAGAGTACAACACTACCGTAGTGCTAGGTACGGTAGGTCTGAGGCGCGTTAGAGACTAAGGTACGGCAGGGTGTAGGGCATGGTAGAGAATAGGACACATTGGAGCTTAAGGCACGGTACGACCTAGAGCACGGTAAGGCATAAGGTACAATAAAACCTAGAGTGCAGTAGAACCTAGAGTACGGTGAGGCCTAGGGTACAGTAGAGCCTAGGTTACGGTAGAGCCTAAGGTACGGCAGCACTTAGAGTATGCTAAGGCCTAGGGTTCAGAAGGGCCTAGGATACGGTAAGACTTAAAGTACGGTAAAGCCAAAGGTACAATAAAATCTAAGGTACAATAAGATCTTGAGTACGGTAGAGTTTGATAAAACCTTGGGCACGGTATGAATTAATGTACCAGAAGCCATAAAGTACAGTAGAATTTAGAGTATGGTAGAGTCTAATGAATAATACAGTCTAGGTAACGGTTGGGCATAAAGAACAGTATAACTTAGGGTAGGACCTAGAGACTAAAGCTCGGTAAAGCCTAAGGCACTGTAGGGCCAAAGGTACAATGAGGCCTGTGGTACGGTAGAGATTAAAGTACTGTATAGCCCAGAGCCGGACAGGATAGGGTTTAGGGTAGGGTAGGGTAAACTTACAATATAGAAGATGTGTCCAATTCCAAAAGTAATGATAGCCAAATCAAACCCAGCTTCACTTGTTGAGATAAAGAAGTCGCCAATCCCTCCGAACAGTAATCCCAAGGCTAGCCGAACTCTAGCTATGTCTTTTTCATGTGGATCTGAGTAATAAGCAACGGCCGAAAGGAACCAAATTGGCAGAGATTTTCTGAAAAAAATAAACTTAAAACAGCAAAAACTTTCTTTACAAATCAAAAAATAGCAAGAACTTTCTCTAAAAATTTAAAAATGGCAAAAACTTTCTTTACAAAACAAAAAATGGCAAAAACTTTCTTTACAAACTAAGAATAGCAAAAACTTTCTTTACAGGTTAAAAAATGCTAACTTACAACATGCAATAACTTAAAATGTCTTTTTGGTCAAATCCATCAGTTGATTGGTAGAAGTAGGCAATAAGAGAAGAGTAAGCAAGCAGTGGTAGTTTGTAATCCATTCAAGCTTGTCTTGGATGAATGGTACTGAAATTTTGAAAATTTTAAATTTTAAATTTTGTCAAACACGGCCATTACGCCTTACCGTACCTTTAAAAAATCCACCCCAAAAAAAATTTTTTAAAAAATTACCTCGCCCAAGATTTTAATAAAATATTTTTTTGCAATTTAAAACAAAAAAAAACTACCTTACCCTGCCTTACTCTAACATACCCTACCTTACCCTACCCTACCCTACCCTACCCTACCCTACCCTACCCTACCCTACCCTATCTTACCCTACCTTACCCTACCCTACCCTACCCTACCCTACCCTACCCTACCCTACCCTACCCTACCCTACCTTACCCTACCTTACCCTACCCTACCCTACCCTACCCTACCCAACCCTACTCTACCCTACCCTACTCTAACCTACCCTACCCAAATTTATCTTACCCACCTCAATTTTACCCTACCTTAACATATCTATCCCACCTTTACCATATTCATCCAAAATTTATCATGCCCTACCCTACCCTACCCTACCCTACGCTACCCTACATTACCCTACCCTACCCTACCCTACCCTACCCTACCCTACCCTACCCTACCCTACCCTACCCTACCCTACCCTACCTTACCCTACCCTACTCTACCCTACCCTACTCTAAACTTTACTCCACTATACCCATCCCAAACTTACCCACTCTAACCTATCCTCCCCAAATTTATCTTACCCACCTCAATTTTACCCTACCTTAACATATCTATCCCACCTTTACCATATTCATCCAAAATTTATCATGCCCTACCCTACCTTACTCTGCTCTACCCTACCTTACCCTACCCTACCCATATAACCTACCTTACCTCTCCCAATTTTATTTTACCCACCCCAGCTTTAACTCGCCTTATTATCTTTCACCATAATCTATTCTACTTAAAGTTAAAAAAATTTAAGAACACCCCTCCCTTTTTTTTTTACCCCGCCCAACTGTTCAAGTTTACCAGCTCAAAAAAAATCCTAATATACCGCATAAAGAACAAGGACACGAATATATAAAAATAGGCTATAATGTTTTTTCAATATAATATAATATGCAAATCTTCCCCGGGAATTCATAATATTACAATAGATATCACGATAGATATCACACAGGCTCACAAAGTGTTTTCTTTGTCGAGAGGAGGCGGAACCATTTTTGTTACGCTTTTTGTATGTTCTGTTATTAGATTATCACAACAAAGTAAACGTTCCGAATTTTTTGCAATAAATAAAAAAAAATTTTTTAAATTTGCATATTAAATTTCGTTATTGTAAAAAATTTTGAAAAGAAAAAAAATTCAAATCACGACCGAAAATTTAAAAAAAAATGTGATAAAAATGTTATTTTTGGTAGAAAAACATTAAATTACCGTAAAAACAAACGAATTTCTTGTTTTTTTTAAATGTTTTTCCAGAAATAGGAAACAAATGTTTAATCACTGTAGGCTTAGGCTTACAAGGAAGGTACCCGACCTGCAACGCTCAGATTTGGTTCAAATTTTTTCTATTGAAAGATCATGTAAATGTAAGACCTTGGGTAAAATTCTAAGTTGCGGTTTTCGGCCAGTCTTAAGAAAATCGAAATCAAAAAATCACGTTTTGAATTTTCCGCCAAATTGACATAGTGTTGCAAGCTTTTAACTATGTCAATTTTTGATATTTAATTATTTTTCTTTAATATAATGATAGAAAAGCTTCATGTGAACCTGAAATTTTAAATTTGTAAGCCTATCTTATCTGAAACATCAAAAAAAAGCGCTTGCAACACAATGCCAAATTTAGCAAATTGGCGGAAAATTTAAATTTATCAATTTTAAAACTTAAAACCGCAAGCTAAGATTTTTAATATGTGAAACGGGTACTGCAAAGAATCTGTATAAAAATTTTGAGCCAATTCTGAGAGTTGCAAGTTGGGTACTTTCCTTGTTAGTCAACAGTCCACAGATTTTGTAGACCCAAAATTAGAAAGCTTTGTAGACTTATTCTTAGTAGACTCAGCTTTAAAATAAGACACAGTTTTGAAAAATTTTTATTAACCCTCTTTTTTCACCACCCTCTCCGTCCCTCCTTAAACTCTAACTTATTAATAAGAAACCAGAGACCGTATGCACTGACCGCACGTGTTTCAAATAATTTCAAAAGTCTTGTCGTGAATAAGCGGTAAGAGACACAAACAAACATGATAACGATTACTGAGTAGACTAGAGTAACACGCCGCGATAAATAATAAGGTGTTGTTTGTTCTGTGAAAAGAGATTCTTCGTCTTGTAAACAAAATTTTTGCACGGCAATAAAGAACGTTCGTGCAGGGGAAAGGGAATTATTTATAGAGTCTTTAGGATATCTATAGATATATACAGGGCCGGGCGAGGATTTTTTTTCTGGGGGGGGAGGAAGTTCCACCCTCCCCGCTCGTCTACTCCCCCCCCCCTTCCCATTAAGCTTAAGGTTAAGTTTGTTTTAGACTTAGGCTTAGGTATAGGCTCAAGTTTTAGCTAGGCTTAAGCTGAGAATTGAACTTGGGTTTAAGTACATACTTAGGCTTATCATTAAGCTTATTTTTGACTTTTTCTTCGGTTTTGGTTCAAGCTTTTGCTAGGTTTAAGCTAAGACTTGAATTTGATTTTCAGCGCAATTTTTTTTTAGGTTTAGAATTAGGTTAAGACTTAAAACTTGCCTTATGCTTCAGCTTAAGATTAGGCTTAGAGTTAGGGTAAGGCTTCGCATTACATTTAAGCTTAAGTTTAAGTCTAGCCTTAAGCTCAGAATTTACTTTAAACCTAAGCGTACAGTTAATCTCTGGCTTAGGCTTACGCTTAACTGTAAGCTTAGACTTCCAATTAGGCTTAAGGTTAAGTAAATCAAAAAAAACTTTTTTTGTTGGTTCATTCTCTTACCCACCCCCCCCCCTATTCTTCTCTCACCGTTCCCCCCCCCCTCCCCCCCCTATTCTTCTCCCACCGCTTCCCCTCCCCCCCCTATTCTTCTCCCACCGCTCCCCCCCCCCTCTCCCCTCCCCCCTTCATCCACCCCTTCCCCTTCCACTTCCGACCCACCCCTCCTAGCCCAAAATCTATAAACTAGCAAAAAAAATTTTTCAATTAAAAAACCCTTAACACAGCAGAAACCTTTAAAATTAGCGCAATATTCATGCATACCTCCCAACAAGACTAGAACAAAGTTTATAAAAAAAACCCCGCCTCATTCTCTTGTCAAATACATTAAAAATCAAGTGTTTAGTAAAAGTGGTGTTCATGACGTTTAATCGACGAATTAAAAAACCACGTGGGGGAGGGGGGTTTATTTAAACCTTTAAATTAAGGGTTTTCAAAAGTAAAAATAGCCCTAACTTCTATTACATCCAAGCACGTCGCTAAGGGGGTGATGGCAGTCAGAGAGGGGAAGGGGGGGGGGAAGGTGTGAAGGGGTGAAACGAGGCTACCTTATCCAAACTTTATCCTATCCTACCTTACTGTACGTCACCTAATTACACTTTACCTTACAGTCCTTAAAAGAAATTTTTAACTCCCCCCCCTCCTTCTTCTCCTTCTACTCACCCCCCACCCCATGAAAAAAATAAAAAGTTGTAGCGCTTCATTTGTTACAACTTAAAACATTATTTTAATGACCTTATCTACTACAATATTAAGTCAACTTTAAAGTTCGCATAACCTTTTGTATCCCTCCGCCACAACTTTCACAAAGTACATTGTCTACCCTATTAATAACCTTAATAGTCTAAAAATTATTCATCGTCCTACGAAGCTACATCAATGACAACATTAACACCATGTCATTGACACCAAACCCTTTCCTTCAGCTAGACTAGACTCGAAACTACGTCAAATCGGAATGCAACTCAATTGATGACTGCATAGACAATAACAAACACAACGAACTTTGATGAGTGATCGATCGGATTGGGTTTGTTACGGATAAGTTCAAATATTTTTTATAGGCTTAAGCTTGGCAGACATTATATATATTTAGGCTTAGGTTTCAACTTATGCAAAAGACCAAGCTTTGATTTAAGCTTAGACACAACTTAAATTTAGGCTTAGGTTCAGGGTTAAGGTTTCTTCACCCTACTAGGCTTAAGTTTTAAGGCTTAGGCCTCTAGGCTTAGGCTTCTAGGCTTAGGCTTAGGCTAAGGCTTAGGCTTAGGCTTAGGCTTAGGCTTAGGCTTAGGCTTAGGCTTAGGCTTAGGCTTAGGCTTAGGCTTAGGCTTAGGCTTAGGCTTAGGCTTAGGCTTAGGCTTAGGCTTAGGCTTAGGCTTAGGTTTAAGCTTAGGCTTAGGCTTAGGCCTCTAGGCTTAGGCTTAGGCATCTTTGCTTAGGCTTTTAAGCTTAGATTCAAGCTCAAGCTTAGGCTCATGATCAAACTCACGCTCAAGCTCAAACTCAAGCATGCTTAATTTCAGGCTAAAACTGAAGCTGCAAGATTAGGCTTACACTATTTTTCGTTTTTCCCTTTAAAATATATAAAGGCCAATACCAAACTAAAGACTATTGTATAGCATCGGTAACCATAATTGTCACGTAAACCGTACAATACAAAAGCACTATCAACAAAAACAATAGTATTAACTTGGCCACAAATCTGGTCATATTAACTCTTGAATTCCCTTGTGGCCAAATTAGGGTTTTCACATGTTTTTTAACCTACTTTGAACAAAAAACAAATTTATTTCAATTCAATTTTTAACTTTGACGTCAAACGCTTGGAACGCCATTTAAATAAAAAAAAAGACGGGGTAAGCTCAAAAAAGATTGTCTGTAAAATAATTTTAAATTGCACGTTTTAACCTTGAGAAACGCCTACTAAGCCTAAGCCTACTAAGCCTAAGCCTACTAAGCCTAAGTCTACTAAGCCTAAACCTGCTAAGAATAAGCCTGCTAAGAATAAGCCTACTAAGCCTAAGTCTACTAAGCCTAAACCTGCTAAGAATAAGCCTGCTAAGAATAAGCCTACTAA